TCAATGGAAAAACATCTCCATTAACCTACAGTGAGGTGTGACTCCTCAGTCATCCTTGTACTATTACTGGCCCAGTTCCTGGAGAGAGCTCGCTGCCAGCTGCGTCTGAGCAGCACAGCCGGTGTGGGAAGCTGCCATTGTGGCGTGTCTGGTGAGGATACTGTTCATCCTTCACGTCTACAGCCATTATTCAGACTTCGCAGATTTCCTGTCCGGCTCGTGTGCCGCGGTCTGAGGTCCAGGGCCATGTGTACAGACTCACGTGCGCCTGAGAATTTCCATCTGTGCAGAGGGGGAAGCGGCCGACACTCACACACAGGATAAAGAGAGAAGACGGTTCATAAACTACTGAAACCGCATGCCGTGGCCCTGATTTTAAAAGGGTAACTTGTGTTACCATGTGTGTGTATGTGTGCGCGTGTGTGCGCGCAACTCCAATACAAGCCAGTCCTCAAGGCTACAGTTTCATAACCCCACCCTGCACAGTCATTAGTCCTGTAAATTATTTTTATGGCGGAATGCTTCAGGAATTTAGATGATCCAAATGAAGGTGACCTCATCAATAGTGCATTTCTTCATAAATCAGCCGTGGTTTGCCTGTTCTTGAACAATGTTTTCACAATGTTTTTTTTAGCACTATTGTCCCTTAAGCTGAGTGATTCTGACCTCCTTTAATATGCCGAAAACCATAAATGGGACATTTATTTTTCTTGTTTTCAACTTTTTTGTTCTACGTACCCAATTGGGAATAGCCAATTGTACGTTTCTCACATTTCAGCTCACAGCTACCAACCCTGTGACCTCACACAGTGTAGAATTGCAGGCGGACCCACCCATCTTTGGGCTATTTGTCTTTTTAACATGTCACGGGCTGCGCAACACCCTTAAAACTGGGTCCAAAGCAGCGAGCGACAAATATGCAATGATACTTTGCAAAGGTGAACAGCAGATAAATGCCCAGCTAAAGCAGACAGACAAAGCAAGAGTCCACAAAATATTTCAGCGCTCTCAGTCACTTTAATGTCTTGGGATAGGGATAGTTTATCATGACACCGCAGTAGACAGGCTACACACTCCAGAGTGTTGGAGTTACTGTATGTGTCATTAAGCTAACCATGACAATTTAAACCTTGTCATGGGTCTAATGTGTTGGGAAAACTTCTATTAACCTCCAAATGTTGATTAATGATTCTTGGTTCAGGCCAGCTGTGAGAATGACATTATTGGTTGAAGATCAGAACTACTGCATAGATGAAATGCATCACTTATAGACTGGAATTCTTTGGGAACAGAACCTAAAAATATGAAGAGCTAATTGGCTAAAAGATCAATTGTTCTTAAAACAGTCAGTTACTTTTCCTCCAATTGCCCAGTTGCCATTCAGCTACTGTACATGCGAGCTCATAATGGAAATTAAATTTAGAGTCTTAAGATGTGCACAGTATCTGCAAATAGGTGGAAAGGAAAGTCTGCATTTAAATTGACATCATGTTAGCATATTGTATGTACTAAATTCTATCACAATCCAGTCTGCAATGAACTATATAAAAACAAGGTAATATACCTTCACACTGTGTTGTACATTGTTGGTCAATGGATAATAGGTTTTCCTGCATTAGTGTCCAGCAAGTTTGTTTCAATTCATAAATGTTAAAGGATTAGGTGTATTTCTACTGTATACAGTATATAACAAAATCCATTGTATTTAACATAAGCACTTCCTTTTAGCTAAATACTGTATGAAATTGATTTAAAATCATTCAGGGGAGAAATACATGTTGAACCTTGTTTAAGCTAGTTTGTCATTGAGAAACAAGGAAACACATGTCAGGTTAACATCACCAAGTGATATGTTTGTGGAATACAGTATGATTCATATCTAAAGAACATTCAGATAATTAACACAACATATAACATTTTAGTCTAAAGTACGGCCAAAAATTTAAAATATTAAAAGTTTATTCTAAGTTGTCATTCTAAACTACAGTTATGTAGCTCTGTCAGTCTTTGGTGTTAAGATGGACAGTTCTGAAAAACCACATGAGATAACAAGTCTAGCAGTAGCTTCCTTATGAGGATGGTGCAGTTTAAGCAGGAAGTAAATGAAGATTAGCTTCCATTCCTGTGAAAAGAGTTCCCTTACAGGGGCACATGCGGTTGGCTCAAATCAGTCAAGCGTCCTGTCCATTTTGAGCTGGAAATGATGCAAAAGCTGCAGCCATTGCTATTTCAAGATTAAAAAACTATAAGGTGAAAGCAACTCGAAGCAGGACAGAGGCACTTTTTCAGCCAAAGAATGATCTTGTAATTGGCCATTCATTGTTGGCCAACATTGTCAGAGCTAATACTGTATTTCAGAAACATCAAAGACAAGCTCCTGCCAGTGGACCTTGTGAGTTCTGGTATGTTCAGACATTGAATGGTAGTTCTTTATGGGAAAATGTTAAAAATGTAATTTGCTAGAGTAGGCCTAAAAAAACTGAAACTAATGTTGCAATCTTCTTTCTTACACTTGGACGGATATTTAATGGTTTAAAATGCACATTCTCCACCGACATTGTATGGACTGTTTTTAACAGCAATATATTGCAAAGCTACAGTATATCTAATAATATCTGAAGAGCTGAGACCAAACACCCCCAAAAATATATAGTATGTTGCACATATTCTGCAAAATGTAGAATAAAATGCGGAGAGATTCAGGCTACTAGTCATTATTTACTAAACTAGACTCTTAACTGCGCCTCACACAATCACAGGAGAGGAAATCATTACAATTAGTAAAACCTGGCTTGCACCATTATAGACATTTCCAATAGCTGATTGAACATTAAACAAGTTCCTTTGAAAGGGCTTCATGCTTACCAGACAGCAAAAAACAATCTCGTTTCACCATTTCCCTAATGGTAATGTGCAAATCTCATCTCATTTTCGAATCGCTCACTCCTGGTGAGGGTCACAGGGGGAACAGGCTGTGGAGAGCAGACCAGACTTCCCTCTCCCCAGCAGCAGTCTCCAGCTCCTCCTGAGGGACGCCCAGGCCGGTCCAGAGGTACAATCCCACCAGCGTGTCCTGGGTCTGTCCCCGGCTCTCTTCCCTTCCAGTGGGTGTGCCTGGCAGACATCTGGGGGGCATCCTCACCAGATGTCTGAACCACCTCAACTGGCTCTTCTGGATCAAGAGGAGCAGTGACTCTACTACAGCTGAGCTGCTCACACTGTCCCAGAGAGGAGTCCCAGCAACCCTTCATCACTTTCCCTCTGACCATCTACAGGACAGTGAGTGACTTAAAAATCATGGTATTGCAGAGAGACTTTCATTCACCTTTTCTTATTTTGCATAGCCCCGGCCCCTTTCTCTGTAATTACATTTCCAATTTGTGTTATACCAAAATAAAGGAAAATCCTTAAAAGCTTAACTCTTGAAAAAAGCATTGAATTAAATTGTATCGAGTTCCACAGAAGCTTAAGCTTTCACGGTGATTGGTTATCTGTTTCCTTCGCAGACTCTACTAAAAAAGTTTGAATCTGATTGATCATATTATAGGATTATATAGTATATCAAGCATCAGTTTTTTTCCGATGTATTCAACACCAGGATCTTGCAATCCCTTGTCTTTGCCATTTGCAGTTAGTTTGGTTACAATGGAGAAGTTGAAAACTGTTAACAGACACGATTTGCAGTATCATTAATGAAAAAGTCAGTCTGTCTTATTTTTCAAAACATCAACAGGCCATTGAAGAGACCAGCGTCATCACAGCAAGACCAAAGCCTAATACTGTTCTTCATGATGTGCAGTTCAGTCTCAGGGGATGGTGGTCATTGGCCTGTTCATTTTTTTAAAAATTCTTTCAGGAGAGTTTTACAATGAGCAGTGAGAGAAGGGGGAGAAAAACAACAAAGCACGCAGATGCGCTGACAACTTCACAATGTCCTGCTGCCTTTGAACGGAGATTTTACAGCCTCCACCATGCTTGCTGTTTCAACACAGTGCCACACACAAAGAAGAGCAGGGAACGGCCAGGCGCTGTCAGAGTGAATGGACTCCATGGATACACTGGAACACGGACAAAAGAAACTGCAGTTGTCCCCCTGGGGCAACATTGAGAGAAATAAAGAACCGGGACACAGTGTCGAGCTGTAAATAAGAATGAAACCTTATCTACCCCTTTAAGGTTGTTATATACTATTGTACAATGTATTCTATACCTTAAACTTTAAGATACTGTAGAATGGTACTTTCAATATCAGTATTATTATGACATTGTTATTTTTTAATATCAACATTTTAATATAAAACAGAGTGTAAATTTATTATTTGCAGTAATAATATTAATAGTGGCACTATTATATTTTTAATTTTTTATTAAACTGACATCATAATTCAAGGAGACCTGAAAAAATAACCGATAAAGTCGGTGGTATAGTCAAGTACACCCTTTTCACATGATACAATGGCTGTGGCAAAACAAGGTACAGAAATTACAGTTCTAAGCTCAGAAGTACTGTTTATATACTGTGCATGGTTGTTCCCTGTACTTATGCTTCAAGTCAATGTTACATTACACTGGGTAAGAGCATGTGCAAAGCACAGAACAACAAGAGGAAATAATGTGGACGATAAAATGTACTCTTTTGTACCATGGACACTAGAAAATAACTTTAAAAACACTAAATACTAAAATGTTTGGAGATTGTATAAGAATAGTTCGCAACATGACCATTGTTCCCATGGGCTAAACCTCCAGAGAGGGTTAATTAAATTTCTCTCACAATAACAAAGCTTTGTCACCAAGTATGGCGGTAGTCAACAACATTGATTTAAAGCCCCCTATTGTGAACTGTGTTTGTGACGACCAGACAAGGAAGGAAGCCCAGCCTGCCACTCCAACATTTTTACAAGAAATTCAGTTGATTTTTTTTTTCTTTTCCGATTTCAAGCTGCTGATTGAGAAGAAAGGGGGGAATGTTCGTCACTGTGCAGTTTGGGGGTGAGTTGCCACTCAGATGGATGCAGTGTGTGAGGGAAGCGCTGCTTTCGCCACTCTCCACTTTCTCCATTTCAGGAATACGGGTCCCGTCTCATGTCGTCTAAAAGAACCGTCCGCTTTTCTGAATGCAAAGCAGGCTCACCCGGTGGGTGGCATCCATATCTTGACCAGAGGGACAGGAGAAAAGTGGCTGAGTGAACGATTCCTTTCTTGATTAATAAGACAAGCATTTACTTTTTCATCTAGAGCTGGAGTGTATATTGCTGGAGAAAAGAATAGATCATTGCAAACTAAGAAAAATATTGCTGAAAGTAAGCAATCAAGGTAGCAATGTAATCATGCTCTACGGTGTTAAAGTGGTAACAGGAAAGGATTGCTGCCAGGTAAATTGTTTTATTATTCCCTTTTCAATAATATATAAAAGCCATTCTGCTGTGCAGAAATCAAGGTACATTAGCCTTTACATACAGTAAGTACCATTCTTAGAACTCATTCACTGCAGAAAAGGAGATTTCAAATTAAATGCAACAAATACAATATTTTTTTTTTACAGCAGACTGTTAATCATACCCTGTACTCTCGTATAGAATTCTTTACCATTGATATAGCCAAGACCAAGATGTTCAAGTAATGTCAAAGAAAAACACGTGATTGTGATTGTTTTGGAAGATTCGGGTCTCATAATTCATAGTACAAGGGAGTTGTGGTCTTGTGTTGTTTTATAGAATGAGATGGGATTATGTGGTGGAATAGAATTGGAACAGCACAAGGGAATTCATGGAGGACTTTTCCATTTTCTTTTCAGTCATTGATATAAAAATATGCAACTTGGGAAATGATGATTATCCATCCATTGTGCCACCATGCCACCCCTAGCAGTAGAGGTAGTAGCAGTTGTAGTAGAAGCAAGGGGAAGACTTCTGATTGATTGATTGATTGATTGATTGATCGATCGATCTGTAGAGGCACATTATCAATGGCAAACAACATCATTAATCACCTCTGGACCTTCAAAGAGATACGAAAACTTTTGTTGTTGTTTTTTTAACCTAGACAATCAAAAGGAGATGTTAAATCCGAATTGCAGAATCATTAACTTCATTCACTGCCTGAAAGAGAAATGCAGCCTGGAACCAGAAGGTATGTTTCAAGTACAGTAACTGCTTTTTGGCTTAAATATATTATGTATTGGTTTATAAATGTAAACATCTAGTAGATAAGAATTACCCAATGAGCACCACTGGTAATATTGGATGTGACTGATTTGATCTCTAAACTGATCAGGTTCATCACACATTCTAAAAATCACAGTCAGAATTATTTTCATTGACTACTGGAGGTGATGTTTACCGTATGTAACTTCCAGAGTTGGAAATTTCGGACACCTATTGCTGCTCATATCAAACAAACAATTGTGGTAAAGGGGATGATTTATTTGATCAATTTTAAATTTATTCCATGGATGGAACTCTGTGCTGATCTGTGTTTGTGTAGCTCTTCGCCACCTCTCCATTAGCCCAGGCGCTTGCCAGCTCCACACACACCTTGTCCTATCTGCTCCTCTTCCTCATGTGGAATTCACTCTCTCCAGGCGTCAATTATTCAATCAGTCCTGGGGTGTCTCATTTAAACCGGCTTCTTCCTTCTTCATCGGTGGTGCTCTCTCAAAGCCACCTCTTCCTCCCTCACATGCCCTTAGCTGTGTGAGCACACAAAAAGAGAATAGCAGTTCTACAAATACCATTTATACCTACAGTTACTGAACATTGCAATGTGTGTGAGCCCCTCTGTTTCCCCAGAGTGTGTCGACCTCATAGATGAAGCAGGTGAGCTGATGTGTTTCAGCGAGAGGGAGAGCTCCCCGGAATTTGCCAGCAGTTTCCTGAAGGAGAGGCACAACTACATCCTAATTAAAGTCACGAGTGAGTCAGCAACATCATTTCAATTGGCAGCAGATCTCTGTATGAATTAACCGATTAAACCACCAAGAGGGCAAGCCAATCAGGTCCAGTTACTGTATGAGTCTTTTGCTTTAAAAATGTTTCATTCTTCCATCATTGTGCTTTGTCTTGTCTTGGTTTTCTATGACAAATGATTCCTTGTGTGGAATCATTTTTACATCAATCATAGATTATATCAAATTAGAAATAATCAATTATAATAGATCAAATTTATCAAATAAGCTTCACAAGTTGCCGGATTTGTTTGGATCATCTAGAGTTCTGCTGTTAAACGATCAGTCGCAATTTTATAGTTTTGAAGTGCCACGGTTATTGCTATTTCTATCTCATATTTAAAAGAAAACCCCTTAAAACAGGATTCACATTACTGTTGTTTTTTAATGTTGACAAATACTGATTCTCCTCAGGAGCAGAAGGCAGTGAAGGAAATAAGTATGAGCCTCTTTTGCAGAACACTGGGAAGAGTTACCCTGATCTAGCAGGTAAAATGCCTCTTTGCAAATGTCATTTTGTGCTTAGGACATTTTCATAATGATCATTGGAATCCTTATTTTTTCCTCACATTCTTCAAAGAGAAAGTACCTGACAGGTGAGAATAACTCCATCTGGTGAGGAAAAAGCACGTTGTAGGGTGCCTGTCCCAAGAGTATCTGTACTCTCCTTGACCTTAACACTTGGGTCCATCTCTTTAACCCTCCATCAAAGGTTGAGACACAGGTAACTTCTATTCTATTCCAAATCCATTGTGAGCATTATTGGAACTGGAATGACATTTTTAGTGTCCTTCTAAACATCCGAGAATTACTTTCCTATCCGTTAGCTTTGAGATGGATGAGAAGATTAGCATGTATTTGAAGCTGTGGGTGGCCCCCTTCTGGTCATTTACTGGACTTTTATAAAAATGCTTGAGTGGCAGGACAGAGACTGTAAATACCCTCTAGGCTTAGTGCCATATTACCATTGATTTTACATCTCATAACACAGATTCCGTAATGTGTTTTAACGTACAAATGAGAAATTACAGGGTATTGCATTGTAATGGATGCAGAACCTGAAGACGTACTGAGATTTATTGTAAAGAATGTTGTTTTCTGATGAGTTCCCCTCCTCCACTCCTGGTCCAGTGTGTCTGTGGCGGCTGAGGGTACTGTCCACTGTGGCATGCTGTCTGTGCATGAGCCCTGGAGTGGGATTGTTAGAGCTTTAGCAAACACATGTGTGTGAAGGTGGGGCAATTAGGAACAGAATTCCTACCTTCAAAGAATCTAGGAAATTGCTGCTGTTGAGTACAGTGTACCTGTTTTTGTAGAAGCTTAACATCTTCTGCTGCTCTTTTAGAGTTTTCTTTCATGAAAAATGTGTCTCATTAGTGATTACAGGCTTCTTTCATGATGAGATCATATATACAAAATGCTGCATTTATGACCATATTATTGTATATTAAAACAAAAAAACAAAGAGCTCTTCATTGGAAAGTTGGTCACTGTTTGCTAATCTAAAAATGTCTGTTCCAATAATTTAGTGTTGTTTTGTTTGCTTTAAAATTTAACCTGCTTGATACATATAGTATGAGGGAGAAGGGCTGTGCGTGTGTTTCAAGCAGAGTGTTTTAAAATTAGATACAGTATTAATCAAAACCGTGAACACCCCTTTATTCATGTACATTCATTAAGTGAATTCACTCACCCCCCAAGAGAATTTGTCAAGTAGGTTCATGGGATTGTCTCACAGTCAGGTTCTACTGTGCAGGCCAGTTACTAAGGCAACCGTAATACATACACAGAAAAAAAGTAAATAATTCAATATGTGCACTGAAAGGGAGTAACCAGATCCTAGCAGATGGAGCACCAGGGTACTCTTTATACAAATTGCATCATTGTGTGTGGGAGCTGCCCTCTCAAAAATATGTCTGACATATTTCATCCTAACCCTCGCTGAGCTTCAAGCTGGCTGTGACGTCCAGAATGCAGGATACAAAAAAGCAAGGCCAGTGACAATATCGATTTGTTCGGGGGCAAACTCTTCTAACATATTGATCCTCATGTTCTTACAGATCTTCTGAAGAAGCTGTCAAATCCTCTCAAAGACAGGGATAAGAGGAGCTCACTCTCGAAGAAAGCACGTCTGCTCAAAGAGACTCCAGCTACCCCACAGACAAAGAGCAAACCCACCCCCAGTCTGAGAAAGAACTCCAGTATCACTTACCGGAATTGACCAGGCCTCTCCTTGACACCAACCCAACTGCAGAATTCAGCCACGCAGAGGGAACATTGGAACCTTAGAATAAAGGAGTGAAAAAGGGTAGGCAGAAGCTAGACTGTTTCAAAATAATAAATAAACCACATTATCTTATCCAGAAAGTCTTAAAGGCCTATTGCAACAGTTATTGTTAAACGTAGGGTAGAGTAACTTCCTCAATTTCATTAGAGACACCATTTAAAGGGGCATTGTCCAAGTGTGTTAGTTTTTAATACCCAGTGTACACAGTAATTACATACAGTTGATGTTTTTTTCTTAAATGTGCTTTTGAGAGGCAATATAAATTAAACAGTGGCCACTCATCATTCAACTTCTAGGTGCTAGGTGTTTTTTTTATAGTAATGCTAGCTTTCAAAGTGACCAGGGCCCTGTGTACGTTATACAGAAGCAATAACCGGGCATTGTACTCTTATGAATAACCGAACACTGGCTGACTCTCTGATTTCATCAGTATGCATTGTCCTTCATATACAAATGGCCTCGTGACCCTTTTCAGTCCTTAAAAAACAATGCATGAAGTGGAGAGTTATTGGTCACGCTTGTTAGAATTTCCTGGACAGAAACTACATCATAAACTTTCCGCATGTGCTTTCAGCCTCACCCACTCCACCCACCTGCCATTATTTGCTAACAAGACCTTTTTATAACATGTTAACTAGTTTCCATTGTTTTCATATGAAATAAAAAAAACCTTATAAAATCTGTGTTTCCTGATGGTTAATGTCATATTTTTAATGTGTCTTGTGCGATTACCAATCCTCTGCTCTGGGTGCCTAGTCTGTTCTGTGTCACTCCAGTGAACTCTTCCTGTGAAACAAGCTTCTGAAAAGATTTTTGAAATGTTGAAAACAGGATCACCAAATGGGGAATACATCGGTGTCATGCCTTTCTTTTTCAACGGCAGTAAAACCTCATTTAAACCTCATTTACAGTAGATTCCATTTAGCTCGATAGCTGTTTTGATTAGCAATCTAAAATAAGTAATTAAAGCAGGTTTACATGGAACTCCTGTAAGAGGAAAATACAAATGTAAAGAGAAGAACTGACTGGGTCCTGGGCCCACTCCAGAGCCAATAGCAACAGGCCCCTTGACAACACCCCCAAACTGGCCGCTCAGTACTGGGGGATTGTACAAGCATGTTTAGCCATACTGATGCTAAGAAATGCTAAACAACAGTCTACTGTATCTGTGAAGCTGGATGAGAGCTAAGAAGTGCAAATTAAGAAGAGATGGAAGGTGTCTGGTACAAACTGCCTAGCTTTAAAAATGCTTTACAGAGACCGATGACAAGGATTTTACTTAGAAGCTTGGTTCTTTGGTGCTCTGTGTGTGTGAGTAGGAGGGTGAGTGCGCTTATATATGGGAAGATTGAAGTGGAGGTGTGAGCAGGGGGGATGTGCAAATTATTTTGATGATGTCTTCAAAAGTCTTATTGTTCTGGAGACGGAACAGCTTGAAAAACTGCTCATAGAAACAGACGAACAGGATTCTCAGAGGGGATGTTGTGAGGAAAGTATGAATCTGAAAGGCATTCTTAATCTCTTTGTAATTTCTCCAGCCATTTTTGGCTGGTCAAACCTTTAACAGCAGACTGGAATGTTACAGTGTCAGACTTCATTTAATTCACTAGATGTTTGATCTTGGTGAAAACAACGAGTCTCATTGCGTTTACTGTAATGGTTGCCAAAGTGTCACCTGTGATACTGCGTTGCTGTGTTTTAAACTGGTACTGTGGACCCGGAGCTAGAATCTCCCTTTAGCTGAGCACTTTTGGTGGCTTGATAAGAATGCCAGACCACAAGTTTTGGCATGCACTCTTCCTCCGCACTGACATTCAGTGTCTCAGGCCATGCAAGTGGAAATAGTTGTGGTTTCAGAAATATTTTTAAAGAATGATTTGGCTATAAATAACTACATAACCTCTCCAAGAACATAAGGGACAAAAATAAAATCACCCAGGCCTGGTTCAAGAGTTCACGCGATAAACAGGAAATTTGAGAGGACTTGGCAATACAATCAGCACAAATGCATACTAATGTTTATCCCACTCCGATTCTTATCCAAGTTCTTGGAGATTAGTGTATTTTTCCTCCTTTGCATTCACATTGTGCCGTCTGCATAAGGATGACTCCTTTCTTTATACCTTTGATTTTAAAACCTCTTACCCTGTTCTAAATCGATAAGGAACACTCCCCTTCCCACAGATAAAAAAAATAATCTATTTATTTATTCAGTTTTTAAGCTTATACCAAAACTTTGAAGACCTCCAAATAGCTAGTTTCAAAGTGACTGTTGATGTTTGGGTATTTCTGTGGAGGCATCAAATATATGATAACTTGATTACAAAACAAAGAAAAGTTCACTTAGAAAAAGCTGCCATTGTAATTTGAGAGTGTATCTGCAGTGTTCTGATCATTTGAGCGCACTAACTGTACTGTAGGCCATGGGGTCACGTCAGCACGGTTACCCACAGCTGGGAGCACTCCTCTTATGACATGGTGATTTATATTATGTGCCCTTTCATGTCTTCTGCTCACTCCTCAAGTGACTGAAATTCTCCTCTAATTTGTTTATTGATGTGGGTGATTTGCTGTTTTTTTTACAGGATTTCTGCATATTTACAGTGACAAAGCTGCATTCACAAAGAGATGCAGAAGAAAATCATTTTAAAAGATTGTGACAGAGGGCTTCATCTTAAGACAACCCTGGCAACCATAATCATTGGTTGAAATGACCCTTAACTTAAGAACATACAGGGGTCCTTAATTTAATGAAAAGTACTTTATTAGTTTAGTAGTACTAGCATAAAGTACAAGCATAATCCATTACAATAAAGAGACATCCTTCTTAATAATGCATTCTTATTTTTAAATTGTGCACTATTTTTAAATTTTCTGTGATTTTAAACTCTCTCTAGGCCTCTAATTAGCAATAAAATCTTCCTGAAAGGACATTAGATCAATGTTAATTGTTCTTTTTTCTGCACTGCTTCTCTAATTTGGTTCACATGCAAATGTTCTTGGCCATGGGAAACTGTTATCAAGAATAATCATATTCCAGCAGTCAACCCTGCCAAACAAAGAAACAAGATCTGATAGGACTGGATACAAAAAACAAGTTTTGCCTAAGTCAAAACCTGGCTCTCATGTTATTGTGAGTAATTAGCTCTGATTGTTCTTGGCAGAATAGCACCATGGGAAAATTGATACAGTCACTAAAATTCATTTGATGGATCTCAACTTATACACCTATTGTTGGTAAAACAGTTCACCAGAGTAGGATGTTGATTTTGAATGATCATGTCAGGCTTCTGCTACCACAAGGCTGTTATTTCAAACCATCTACTAGGGAATAGTATGATTTAAAACAATAATTGAATGGTATTGCACATTTATGACACTATGCACTGCACAAGATACCTTATGAACACAGTTCTATTATTGCGTATGTTTTAGGTCACATAGAAAGAAATCACAACAATTAGCAATCAAAACATTTTGATTGTTTGAGAAATTATGAAAGAGAGGAATGCATTCAATTGAACATGAAGTCCAATCAACTGTAATTTCTTTAATTACAAGGCAAAAGTGACTTCAGCATCAGTGTGAATAGAAATGTCCAATACCCACAGATTTAACCGGCGAGCTAGTTTTTGGTGGACACTGTTGTCATTACCCCCGTTATAGCAGTCTCTGAAAATGAACCAGCACAAGCTGCTTCCCAAAAAGGGCAAAGAATTTCCTCAAGAGTACTTAAAGGGTTAATTATCCCTGATCAATTGCATGTTTAATATTCTTTAAACTCTCATTGCCTGCATGTAGAGGGAAAATCAATTGCATGCAGTATGTCTCTGGTACTTTGAATCAGATAAAGATCTCATAGTGGCTGTGGCTCCATTATTTAATTCTTAATGATTTCCTGCTCTTGTGAATGGGAGTACAACAACATCCTGAGGTGATGAAATGGGTTCTGCAGTATTTTCTGCTGCGGTAAAGAGTCCCTATGCTTTTCGCTTTTGTACCTTCTGTTACATCTTTAATTAATGACTCAGTCCCGTACAGCATATGGGGTGGGCTATGCAAATATACAGCTGCTGAATACTGTACCTTCTTAAGTGTCCTTGTAATGCCATCATATTTGCTGTTGTAACCGACCATTGAAGCAGACATGTAGATAATGAAACTAATCATACTTGTTTACTTTGTGTACAAAATATCTTATTACACAAATATATATTTTGTGCAATCAAAACATGGACTGCCTGGTGGGTTCCTGGGTTCAGTTCCAAACCTATCTGTGTGGAGTTTATATGTTCATCTTGTGTTTGCATGGGCTTCCTCTGAAGTGTCTGAAGACATTCTTCTGGGAAAATTGGCCCGGATGTCAGTGTGTTTGTATGCCCTGTGATAGACTGGTGTCCTGCCCGGGGTGTACCCTGCCTCGTGCCTGTTGCTGGCTGGGATAGGCTCCGGAATTGGAAGAGGAGGTTAGAAAATGAATGGATGGATAATCAAAACACGAGAAAGGTTACAAATGATAGCAGGGAATTGTGCATTCATCTTGTGCATCTGGATACTAATGTGTCAATACCCAAATCTCATCCTGTCATTTCTTGAAAGATTGCAGCGTGCTGTGTTCCACAGTTCCAGATACCCATTTCTGTTTGGGTAAAGACATACTTCTTATTTTCAGTTCTTAATACATCTTCCTTTGATTTTTTCCAGTGACCCAATATCCTCTTTTCATTCCTGAACTGAAAGTCTTTCAGCACTTTTGATGAGTTTGAATGTGTAAATTTAATTCTTTCCCAATCATCTTTGTTTGAGACTAAAGAGATTCTGATCATTTAAAATGGTTGATTACAAGCAATCCACTGAGAATAGGAGTTTTCTGGTTGGCTGTCTTTGAATTATTTCCAGGGAATAAATGTAATGTAAGTATTGTGAGTAAAACAAAAAAACAATATTATAAATCTAATGCATTTTAATTAACTCTGACCATTAAAATGTGACACATCATTTCACAGCTAGCATTGCACTCTTTTTTATACAATTTCTCATTAATTAAACTGTTAATTGTTGTTGATTGGAGGTAGTTTCTGCCGAAAAACAGCTAACTCTAAACTAACCAGCTAATGTGGAATAAAGTGGTCATTCATCTAACAGTGCTTGGGGAATATTCGTTTAAAGTGCATAGTATGTAAGTGAGAAAGTGATCCATGATTTAGGATGTTTGCATCATGCAAGCAACACAATTAGTAGCAAAGAGTAGTGGACAAAGGTTGTGAGTTCAAACCCAGGTGGAACCCTGCAGTTATACCAAGCGCAATACAGTGCATTGCAGTTTGGCTGCTCAAGTTAATTTGCTGCTGTGTAAATTAGTCTCCAGATCATCGCTGCAAATGAGAAATCACTCATGATTGACTGATGTGGTCAATAGGAAAAAATGCAAATACTGAAGCTGCCCACTAGCAGAGAAATCAACATTGGCATTGTCCGCAGACAATTCAATTTACACTGGAGGAAAACTAAGTTACTGAAGGATGTGTAAAAGAAAATTGAATTATCTAAATTTTATAAATAAGACATCAAAAATAAATTCATTACATTCATTTACTGCCTGACATTTAGAATTTGAACTTGAATTAACACACATGAATATCGTGTTTTAAAAAAGCCTAGATCTTCCATAAATGTACATTTGTGTTCATAAACCATGTACTGCAATGATACTGTTAAACGTTGTGTTGTAAAACGTGATAAAAAAACAAGTGGGGATACAGTATCATAGGAAACAAGTACAATAAGGACAAATAAATTATACTGAGTAGCTGAAATATTCAGTTACAGTGGAAAGAAAAGGCTGTTTCACATCACAAAAAATAAAGTGCAAGTATTATTCACTTTTTTACCCCAAATGATACCCCAAAGTATGTAATGTCTAGGGGTTTGTATTGAAAACGGAGAAATATTTTCTGATTGCCCAGAAAATAGCTTTCATGCAAAACAAAACATGCGTTTAAAATGGTTAACCTCTGTCTTCGCCTTGTCTGTCAAGAATCTCAAAAGACAAAATTTAGAAAACCATTAGAGCAAATATTAGGTTTATTAGGTATAAAGGGAAAAGGGAAAAGCGCAAAATGGCTGCCCCTCTATAATTTGTCTCTCGAAGGCCAGGGGCCCTGGCTCACTCAGGCTGTGCACTGGCGTATGAAACACTAAACCAAGCTCGATCCGTCACAGGCTTCAAAGTCCACACAACAGTTAAAGTAGAAATAAGCGATCAGCCATTTACAGGGTAGGACCCTCGGGCACGTACTGTATCTTCTTTTCCAGAAAGGTGCTCTCCTCGGTGCTGACACATGGTCTGTATGGAAAATTCAAACGCAGCTTTAACTTTTATGACATTGCAGGGCTATGGTACAGTATATGATATAGTTGCGTGCTATTATAAGACAAATCTATAAAAGCCGAATACAGTGTGCACATGTTTTGGCGAGGCTATATTTGACGTGGTTTTCTTCTTTAATTTAGTCGAAGCAACATGTTGCATGATGTCAGTTGTTAAAAAAAAAATACATTGTATATACAGACCGTACTGTCCAGAATAATACAATGGGCGTCTCTGCGACTGAGCTAGTGTTACGGACTGCGGTTCAGCTAGTTCTAAATAACAAGTGAGGTACTAAGATAAACTTCAGCTTGAATCTGATGGGGTTTTTTTTTTCCAGTTTGTCGAATTGTATTAGTCTGTGCTTCACGCGTTAGTATAAGCCACCGAAAAGGCAGAGGTGTTGTGCGGGTGTCTTTAACCGTGCGGTGAAAGGGAAATAGACCGGGATACCACCGGAAAGTTACTGGAGCGCTCGGTGTTCCGTGCGCTGTTCGGTAGAGACTGTCGGCATGTTGGACGTCTTTGTATTTGTCTACATTTTCACTCTTCCAGATGTCTGCGGCCCAGTTTGAGTCCCTGGAGAGCATTCTGGAAAAACATATCCCGCCTGAGGAGCTTAAAGAAGTCAGACGAAGGCTGTTTGGCAAAGAGTTGAAGTAAGAAACCAACTCCTGTTCATAGCTATTTACTGGTGGCGATTTCTATACCAACACTACTACAACACGGTAGGTCGTTTTAGGGCGTTATTGTCAAGATACCGGTGTACACGGTAAGGAAGTGTATTTACCGAAACTGAGATTTCCGTCCCGAAACTAAATCTACAGCGCTGAGAAAACGTCTGAAAACAGAAGCGATATTTTGACATGTTTCAGAAAGTTACACATATCTACAGCAGTTGAATGTATCGCTTTTTATGTTATTTCCAGCACTGTATTCGAAGGTACCCCTGTTTGTATACCCACAACCACCCCCCAGAAACCCAAAACAAACACTGAGCAGTTTCAAAATAATGAAGATTGAAAAACGCTTTCTCTATCCTGATCCGGGAACATCTCCATTTCTTGTGGTTTTCATACCAGCACAACTGTTAAGTAAAATCTTCATCTTACTGCACATTTCCTTGAAGTAGGAATGGTTAACTCCGGAGTGACCCTGTGTCATTACCACCTGTTTTTGTATATGTTAACTATGCGTTTTGCAGAGAACAATCGGAAAGCAACACTTTAAAAACGAAATTAAAATACAGATCCATAATTCACGTAAAAGAGAATTAAACGCATAAATAGATAATTTGTGCAATTAAATAATTAAGCAATTAAATAAGAGGTGGAACTTGTGGAAAAGCGGGAGACAGAGGTACAGGAGCAGGATTTGGGAAGACTGGACGGTGAGATAGTTAATAAATGCTCACATTGAGTCAGTCATTTACTGGGGACCTTGACCAGCACTGAGATCTGCAGTAAGGTAAGTAACTGTCAACAAGCTGTGATCTTGCAGCAGTGACGAGTCAAAACTGGACCAATACGCTTTTAGTCTCTTAGCAGTACTATATGCTTTTTTAACATACTTGGTCAATTTAGATAATTTAAATATTTAGTTTTATACACTACTGCCTATGCCATCACATGTGATACTTAATTTCCAAACATGTGCAAATCAGTTCTTGTCGATCTTTAAATCTGTCTTAAAATGCCTTAGTAGCACCATTATACTGTTATAGCATACAGTACTTTATACTGTATAAGACCCAATTTCAGTCTTGGATTAGCAAAACAACAGATTGTTCTTGAGCGACAAAAATATTCTTTGATAAATTGGCAATACAACTAAGGCGTTTTAATAATAATAATGTTTCTTTATTAGCCCTATACAATTTCTTGCATTAGGAATTCATCTTTTCACATACCCCAGCTTTTCTCCAAGGAGACACAGACAGGGAGAGAAGCTTGGGGTCAGAGCACAGGGTCAGCCATTGTACAGCACCCCTGGAGCAGTTGGGGTTAAGGGCCTTGCTCAGGGGCCCAACAGAGTAGGATTCCTCTGCCAGCCACAGGATTTGAACCAGCAACCTTCCAGCCACAGACGCAGATCCTTAGCCACAGAGCCACAGCTTTAGTAGTGTCTGCATTGCAGATTATTATTTTTAAAATAAGTGTGGTGTCGCCAAGGATCATGCTAATTGATTTTAACATGCTTAATTTAACATTTTAATAATGACTGGCATATTAGCACAAATCTGGTGGGACGGGCCATGGTTGGCATTGCTGCCTCACAGCGCTGGAGTCCCGAATCCCAGACCCAGGGGGCTATCTGCTGTCTGTGATCACGTGGGTTTCCTCTGGGTGCTCCGGTTTCCTCCCACAGTCCTGAGACATAATGGAAAGTTAATTGGCTTCTGGGAGTACTGGCCCTGGGTGCGAGTGGGTGCTTTTTTGTCCATTTGTCTTGCCAGAATAGGGTCCAGCTCCACCGCTACCTTGAATTTGGAGGAAGTGGTTAGAAAATGGGTGGATGGACGTGAGCACTAATCTATTTTACATTTCATCATCTCCCGTGTCTTTCCTTAATGGTACCCGTGTCATTCTGTTGCAGGAAACTTGAGTTTCCTTCTGATGCCATTGAAGCTGCCAAAGAACGGGACTTTGAGCTCCAGGGATATGTGCTGGAAGCTGCCCTGGAGCAGTTAAGGAAACCCTTCATCGTCCGCGTGGGCCTTGTTCAAAATAAAATTGTTCACCCCACGGATGCTCCAGTTATAGACCAGGTGGGTTGGCATCAGGCTGGTTTAATGCCAGTGGCCTCCTGGAAACATGCAAGACGTCACAGGTGCAGCCAGATCCAGTCAGTCCTGGAGATACACAGTGCTGGAGAGATTCTTATTATCTCTTAACCTGTTGTTGAAGACTGATCAAGCAACTGGGTCAAATCGAGAGGTTGAGAGAACAGACCAGAAATACAGAAGCTCTTGTAGCTTTTCATGGTTAATCATTGCTGATCTATCAAGATATAAGTTGTCACTATTGCTGGGCCAATATAATCCTTCATAAGGGTCGGGTCCAGTCAGAATTAATTACTGTTTCTCCTAACAAGGGAATTTTGTTTTACTTAAAACCCCTGCTTGCAGCTGCCTTTTTACAGGGGGCATTTTGCAAATAAAAGGTCTGAGGTCTGTTTTTTTACCCCACATTTCAGACAGCACTCCATACAAGTCTGGGCTGTGTGAACATTTGATCATTTACAGGCTCAAGGACCTCTCCAGTCCAGAATAAATGGATCATACACGATCCTGTAATGGTCAAAGCAGTGCTGTTCTCTCTATAGAATTACAGGTACCTCCCAGCTAACATATCTGACAATATGCACAAAGGAAAAAACAGTAGGATCAAGTGTGCTTCTTACCTTCTGGAACAAATTATGTCAGAACAAAAAATGGAGCCTGTTTTTCTAACAGTGCATAATGGTCTAAGCTAGTTATTCAACTTGGTATTGATACATTTTTGTTAAGTGTATTTTAGAGAATGTTTATTTTCATTGTGATATCAATATAATTACATAAAGATTATAAGCAGTCCTTGTTATAAGATAAACGTTTGTTGTTATGGTTTTTGCAATATGTATGACACCAGCAGAGAAATGGAAATCTACATTGATATCAGCAGATGTTTTGAAAAATTATTTTTCTATTCTTTCGTATGTATCAGCTGTGTTGTTGCATCTTGCGCAGTGCTATTGAAAATGTCGTGCCAGGGACTGCAATGTCTTCATTTTCACAAGAACTGGGGATATTTCATCCCCTAGGGTACTGATGAAAATTAGATCTAGAATATCAAGTGCTGTTTGCTCCTGGCAAAAACAAATATACAGTATGAAAAAACCTTTTTGCGTTCAAATGTACCCTTTGGAGGACATTTTTCATTCACAAAATCTATATTTATGGATGAGATGCATTAACAGGAGAATGTGAAAATGTTTTAAATGCAGTGTTTCACAGCTCAAGACAGCCACAGCTTGTTTTCATTGTTTCCTTAACATTGGACTCAGGTTTCTAATGGTCTGCTATTTCACAGCCAACCATAAATTTTCTGCCACGAATTGATTGAATATGAAAAATAATGTTGTATTTTATTTCTTTCAACAGCATTCACATTCAATTTCTATTTTTTGCCCTTAAGTATTTTTTTTTTCTGATAGAAATAAAATATACCATGAAACATTAGAAACCCCAAAGCATTGTGCTCTTGATATCACCTCCCCCCTGTCTGCTGGTTTTATTCGTACATGGGCTGTTATTATTAACTGTTACTAATTGGTGCCTTTAATTTGCATAATAATCTGAAATCTCTAATAATTATTAGGCTGAAAATGTGAACTATCTTATTCTTTTTAACATCCTATGCATAAGATAAAAGTATTTACTGCCTGCATTTGTATGTTGCCCTTTTTTGCTCTTTGGTGCTACAGTAGGTAGGAATGACAGAACAGCAGCCATTCCTAAAATAGTGGCTTGATACTGCTTTCCATTAATCAACTTTAGAATGTGTGTGTTTGAAAGGAATTGCCCTGTTTGTGCTCATCACACATTTGTTTCTAAAACATTGACTCTGAGGAGGGGACCACCAGTGAGGTATGGTTATGTGTGGTGTATATACAGTATATACTGTACATGTGCAAAGTTGTTATGGATTTATTTACTACTGCATACATAAAATGTAAAATAAGGAAATAATTTAATGTTCGATTTTTCATAGAGAAACAATCAGTAATGGCACTATTTTGTGTTCTGGAAAGTCAGATTTTAATACAACCCTCTTGTTAAAGAAGCTGCGTTATAGGGATAAATGCAAAGCTGAAAGTTTACACGTTCATCGCGCTTGTCTTCCTCTTACCAAACAAGTGATGAACTGCTGAGTGAATGTTGGAAAAATCTGCCATATGTAGAAATAAATGCTGAAAAACATCAGCAGAGGGGAATTGGTGAATGATTAGATGAACTGAACGTGAGGTTTGCAAAGAATGTTGCGAATTCTTGGTAAGAGTCTTTGTTCTCAGAAAGCAGTGGTCCTTTTCTCTGGAACAGATTTTCCAGTTAACACATTTGTCACATCTTTAATGGCTTGGTTAGTAAACAGTACATTAATGCCTAATGGATGACCTCACAGCTGGATCTCTATTTTTGTTTCTGGATCTTCCATTCTCACAGCTCATTTTCTTATGGCTGCATCACAGTGACCTGCTGGTGCAGTTGCACAAGGTACATCAAAAATGATTGTGTTCTTAAAAATAAAGGTGGCAATCTGTTTCCTCAATTATGAATTGTAATACGAACATAAAGCACAGTTATTACTATTTTATTATTATTTACAGTATTTGCTTATGTTGCAGTACAATTTAGGACAGCTTAAAACCCTATAATTACAGACAGTGTTTCCTCTGTACAGATTACTGCCCTGCACAGGCGGATCGGTGAGATTGTCGAGGTGGCATCCATGTGTGGGGTCAATATTGTCTGCTTTCAGGAAGCCTGGAGTAAGTAATTTCAACAGATCTGTGTTCTTGTCGCTTCTTTTTGAGACAGAGGTGGCCGTGGACATTGTATGATGTGGAATTCATTGTGGCCATTTTTCCTTGAGCCCTTTATTCTAGCACAAATTCTTCAAACTATTGATTTCTTCATTTCAATTAAAATCCTGATAATCAGAAATTCCCACGGAGTGGATACAGAAATATTATTCTCCTTTTGTTCTTTGATTCATCTAAATGTATGGCCGAGGTGTTAAGTATGTCGGTGTAAATGGTTTCTTGGTGTGTGGTAACATAGCTGTTCTATCGCTTACTGAAAATGAGGCCCACAGACCACGTTTGTTTGTGTGTTTGCTTTGGCTCCTAAATGACTTTTCACCCTGTTCTCATGAAAGAACGGTCCTTTGATTCAGCACGCTGGGAGCAGTGGGAGACCTCTGTAATCCCACTGCGCAGCTACAGAGAAACAACCCTTGAGAAAGACATGCAAGTTAAAGGACTTCTGGAATCTGGAGTTTGGTGTTTTGTCCTTAAACTGCTCTTAGCTATCTTGAAATTCTCAGGAGGGAGGCTTTAAAAATGATGCAAGCTTTCTTGTTTTGGTACAGAGTCAGAGATTTTTCAAGTGATCTTTATTGATTGCATGTGTTGAGTGCTTTCCAGTTCCTGTGTGTGTATTGATTAATTGATTGATAGATTGCTTAGATAGCTGGACACATGGAATAGGTTTGCAGCACAGTATTAAGTTGTTAAGGTAGTAAAAATGTGATTCGGCAGTGCTCTGGTGATTAGCTTACACCAGTGGTTCCAACCTTTTCAAGTGTGCAGATTCCAACCATTTTTCTAAGTTATTTCTGAACTTCATTATGTGTACATGTCTTAAATGTTGAGGAATTCTTACCCATGACCTCGGGAAATGTTTTGCAAAGTAGAGCAGCACCTTTATGTGATACAAAATATAGGCCATGTGTTTTATCTGCAGTCGGGTGTTGATATAGATGTTGAGGCGGAACTTTTAGCATTTGCAAAGCAATTAAAAGAACTTCTGGTGCAGGACATAGAGGTTTGAGGACCATCCAGCAGGTCTTTCTGTCCTTCACCCCAACACAAGAATAAATCTGTTGATCCTGCTTATTGCTGAAATCCGGTCATTTTATTAGCAGATTTTCTATATTTGTTTGGAGCTTCTGAAATCCCCTTGCAATGTGGACTTGCAGTGTTTGTTTCTGCTCTTGTGCACAGCGATGCCCTTCGCCTTCTGCACACGAGAGAAGGCACCCTGGACAGAATTCGCTGAGTCTGCAGAAGAGGGACACACTACCCGCTTCTGCCAGGAGGTGAGAAGCTAAAATTCATCCCAGGATAAAAAAAGTATGCCTGCAATGCACACATACAGTAGAACATTGTCTGCACTTCGTCCAAATATCATGGGATTCAGTGGAATTAATTTTTGATTATGAGAAGAGTGCTAAAACATTTTGATCTGATTCTTGGAATTCTCAAATGTAGCCTTCGCTGCTTAATATATTGTATTGGAATAACACTTTTATAGCATTTTGCTTCAATTGAAGATTAGATAAACTTTTTCTTTCATAAAATAGAGCGTGTTTTAAATTCTGTTTGTTCAAGAAAAAATACTTTTTTGATTTTACATATTTTTATTGCCTCTTGCTTGATTGGCATCTTTATGCTTTTAGAATTACTCTCAGGGTCAAATTCTGCTCCGGAGCAAAAAGTAGTGTGTTGCTGTTTTACGTAGGAATCACGTTATCACAGTTTTAGTAGCAGTGAAATATGTGATTCTGAAACACACTTAATGCACAAGACAAGCATTGTTGTTTCAGCTGGATCTCCAGAATTCATTCGCTGAAAATCAGCGCACAGTACATCCTTCAGCATGTTGTAGTTCTAAAGCATATTTCTAAAAGTTTTAACTGCAAGATATTGTGTTAATCAGTGTGCAGAATGCATCTAAGTAGATTCCGGAGTACGTACAGTAACATGTGGAGTAAATTTTGCATTTACACTTCAAGATCTCATGGTTCAGAAGAGTTTAGGCCACCAACAAGCAACAAGGTATTGTTGCATTACTTAAACATACTGTATAACTATGGTGCAGCACTTTACAGGCGACAGAGTGACATTGAACCACTGTAACCATTGTTTACCTTTTGTCACTTCAACATTAATCCTGAATTATCTAGTTTATGCAGTCTACCAGAATAGTCTACCAGAAGATGGTCAACAAGTGTCTGACGTGAAACTGTTGACATTGATGTTATACTGCAAAGTGTATCACAAATGGTCTTGGAATTGTAAAGGTATTACATTTAGAGCCCTGCTTAATCACTATAGTATAGTCAATTGCTTTGCCAAGCCAGTTGTTGGAGGCTATTTTCTGATTTCTTGCAATGTTTCAATTTCTGAGGTCGCTCCTCAAAGCTGCCATATTAATGCCATCCTAGTCATATTGAGCACATAAATTGAGTTTCATTGCATCCCATCAGCCACTGCCTAATGCACACGGAATTGCTAATGCACAGTAAAGAAATGAACAAATAAATCTCTAATACGGGCAGGAGCCATAGGTTTGAGGAGGGTGGATTCATCATCCTCATGATTTAACTACTGTACGTGCAATTGTGTTCTGTAGAATAGGGCCCTTTGTGTAAAAAGCTCCCATAACAAAACAGATCCAAATAAAATAAGAACAATTACCTGCATGCAATAACAGTCATTAAGCATAAAAGTGAGCTTTCCATTTAGAACAGAATGATAAAAATCCTAATAGTATCATTGTCCCCTATGTCCTTTAAGAAAATGCTTCCAAACCTAGGTACAAAACAGGAGAGTATATCGAGTGCCACATTTATGTTTTCATTTATAAAACTTCAGGCTAGGGACTAAAGACTCTGAGGAGGTGTAGGATCAATGGAGCTCACACATGTCATTTGGGTCTTAAATGTTGCCTACAATGGACTAAACCTAAATTTGACTAAACTCCACTGAGAGAATAGAAAGCAGTCTTATTTTGCTAAAGTTGGCATACTGTTTACATAGGATTTTGTTTTGGTTCCAATTTGGGTTGTTGGATTCTGAATATTACACTAAGATAAAGTAACAAAAAATAAATCTACAGATAAAAACAAGGATCGTGATATGTACAATTTAAAAGTGATAAACATCGTAGCCAGCTGTTTATATTGGAATTGATAGTGCTTGTTTCTAAAACTAATTTTGAAATACAGGTTGTGATCATTTCTTCATTATTCTCACATGTAACTTGCTTAATAGATTGTTTTGGCTTTAATACTTTCATAGCATTTTGTTCCGTTTGATTAAATTTTTTTATCTCTATCTCTTCTTTCTCAAAATACAGCATATTTTAAATTCCCTAATTATGTTTAAGAACAATACTTTGTATTTGTGCATCTGTATATGTCTCTCTCTGCCTTGTCTACAGTCTTTTTTATTATGGCAAGATACTAGCAGTCTTGCCTACACCAGTTTCATTGTTCAACTATGTATTTTGTAGCTTTTTTTATACCAAATGGGAACATACTGTATGGTGGGATAAACCCCAGCAGAGATTGTTTGCTCTTGTGTTTTTAGCTGGCTAAGAAGTACAACATGGTAGTGGTGTCCCCCATTCTGGAGCGAGATGATATTCACGGGGGGACCCTATGGAATACGGCAGTGGTGGTATCCAACTCTGGGAATGTGCTTGGGAAGTCCCGCAAGAACCATATTCCCAGGGTGGGGGATTTCAATGAGGTGGGTCTATTGATTGTTGAAGGAAAAAAATAAATGTTTTTTTTTGTCTTGTGCTTCCCAACCCAAGCATTCCGATGCCAATCACTCAGAGGAGGAATCCCATTTCATTCTTCCCTGGAAGGACTGCCACCTGACAGATTTTACTTTGACAGGAAATAAGCACGTGAGCTATTGCTGTCAAACACCTGACCTTTCTCCTCCAGTGCTGTCAGTGTGCAGAATACCTGCTTCCTAGGCCTCAACGTGCTAGAGACGTTTATTGCATTTCCAGGTAGCAGAAAGCAAGTCTTTTTCTGGGTTACCATGATACCTGTGCACAAGCCAGAATAAATTATTTTTGCAAGTAACCTGAATTGATTTGAGCTGCCGATTAACTCCCGATACAGGACCTTTCAATAAAGCTCCGCTGTTATCTCCCCAGTTTTTCTGTGCCTTTAACCAGGGCCCACATCAGTAACAATTGTTGTCCATTAGGCATAGATATCTAAAGTTAACAGAGGTGGGTTTTTCATTTTTCAAAAAAGAACAGTGCTCTAAGAAAGGGTAAATTATGACATTTGAAAATGACCAAGAAGTGGTACAGTGAGTTTATTCTTTTAGTTCAGTTGAAATTAGCCGGATGACCTTTCCTTTTTAAACTTAAGCATTAAGCATGCAGCCTCAACATCCTGTTTTGATTTTCAAATTAATAAGGGTTCATGGGACTGAATTCCAAAACTCCAATTCATAGAAATGTACAGAATGGAAAACTGCTTTCTTAGCTTGTGGTGTAATTCTGTGATTCTCACAAAGAAAAACTATCTTAATAATTAGAAATATAATGTGTTTTCTGATAGCTGAAGAAAAAAAAGCTGTCAATTGAACCAAACAGCTCAATTAAACAAAAATAAATTGAGTTTTTTTTAAAAAATCATCGTGAACTCTCCAATTAGTTTGAAGAGACTTAATCAATTAATATGTAATTAATTTCACATATTTGAATTGGCAATAGTAGAATCTTACATCACATGTTACATCTTTTTCTACAGAAGTTATGGGGGATATTACAAAAAATCAGACTGCTATCATTAGTTCAATACCTTGCTTACCTCGTGATGACATTGAATTAAAGCTGATTAAAGAAAAGTGTCAACTACAAATTCTAAACCCATCACAGGACTTGAGTGTCTCTTGTCCCTTAAGCCTCTGGAGAAAGGTAACCCCTGTTAAATGAGTTATTTGGAATTTCAGATTGACATGTGGGCTGAAGTGCTGATTTAAGCTGATTAAGCCAAAGTAACATTCGTACTGTCTGAAAAGCTGCCCTGCACAGAAAGCATTACAAAAGTTTTACATGATGAAATTCAGTATTAAACAGGGACCAGAGGAATGTCATAACACTTCTGTAAAGATTCTAACACTTGAGGGGTTCACTGATGTCTCATTAGTTGAGGTTTCTCATACACCAAAAGGGCAAAAACAGTCAATTCATTCAAAGTTGGATTTAGTTTTGATGGTTTTTTTTAATTGGACAGGTTTGCCACTTTCAGTGACATAATCTGCTTTATTCTTTTTTGTAAAGACCAGGAAATTAGATTAAGTTTGGTAAAGGTTATTTTTTCTAGCGATGATATGAATGAACCATCATGTTGTTGGAATTATCAAATTTGCCTCCAAGAAACATCCCAGATGTCATTATTTCATCTTCATGCAAGAAATGTTTATTAAACAAAGACTTTATCTTGTTACAGCATAAATGCCCTCGCATAGAGCATTATTCACTTGCCTCTGTCCAAATGTAATCACCTTGTACATGCAGACTATTGCTGTAATAAATATTTCTTCTCTGATTACATTTGCACAGTTCATTTTGACACACGCCAGCGCACGATTAATGTGCTAGTTGTTCTGATGTCCCGTTTCTCTAACTAGACAAAACAGCTGTAATTAATTTCCACAGTCAGTGCTGTCTTTATAAGCTCAAGATCCGCCGTTGCACTTTATCACAAGTACTAAACAGTACAAAACTTTCAGGTTAATCTTGTCTATATTGTTTATCAGAATTACCTACAGTATTGACCAATATGTCAATTGAATTAAGTGACTCACTATTCTGATGTGCTACAGGATTCAGTCTTACTTGACGCTGAAGATCTTGAACCTTTTTTGCAGGAGTACATATTAATAAAACACATATTCTCTATTAACCCAAAATAGCTATAGATTGTTGAGTTACAAGGCTGTTGTGACAGTCTTCTTGAATCAGACCAAATACGCACTGAATGCCAGTGACAAACCTTTTTCATGAGGTTTCGGTGAAGCATTGCGAAAGACATGCATGAGGCAAAGCAATTTTATTCTTTCCTTTTATCCAAATGTCACCCCTGACTTCAGTTTTTTGTTTGGGCATTATCTGCTCCTCCACTCACAAGCAAAGGGTGCCCATTGTGACTCCTGAAAACTTCTTTGAAAACATAAGAACAACACAAGCTATCCATTGTGAAACCTGTTAAGTGAACAGATCTAAACGAAGACATTAAGCTGTTGTTCTAGATTTAGATGTTCTTTAATAGCACATCACTCCATCATTCCAGGATTTACTAAACCCTTGTTTCAGTCCTGACATGTTCAGATGTGTTTTAGATCAAGCTCGTCTTTTTTTTTTTCCTGCATGCAGTCCACATATTACATGGAGGGGAACACTGGGCACCGCGTGTTCCAGACCCAGTATGGGAGAATTGCTGTGAACATCTGCTATGGGAGACACCACCCTCTCAACTGGTTCATGTACAGCATGAATGGGGCGGAAATCATCTTCAACCCCTCAGCCACTGTTGGAGAGCTCAGGTACTACTGGTACCAGCATATCCTGTTAACCAATCCTTATTACAGTACATAGTACTAGTAAGAACGTAAGGTGCACTAGTTCTTATATAGTATATCATAGTGTAGTACAGTATATTAAGAACTATGCTATTTGCATTGGTTGAATTGCATCTTGAAGTGCCACTCTATATGCATGGGAGAATTTTCTTCTACATCAGGAGATAAAATGTTTCTCAAAACCTTAGAACTAATTCTAACACTCCTGACTCCTCTTTGTACTTCTGAGCAAATTCCAATCTGGCTTGTCTGTCCTGTCCATGAAGTTAATATGATATCTTGGATGTAGGCTTTTTACTGTTTTGGTCTTCTTGTGTCCTCTGGAGATTGCTGGTAGTTTCACTGGCAGTTATTTTGGGGTTTGCTTTGGCAGCTATAATCATTTTTATCTGTCATTACAAGTTTTTTGGTTTTCATTTTGACTTTTGACTATTCACTCCAAATATGCACTCCAAGCAAGATAGGTTGGCAGAACGTTCACATCTCTTTACTCGCCAAACAAACGCCTTATCAAAGAGAGACACCTGTCAGCCAATTAACAATTTTGATCTTTTCAAATGAAGAGGTTCAATACGATCAATTTTGAATTGATCTGAGGGGGTAGAACTGAATTGCTTTCATCATCAATAAAATATTTAGGAGTTGTATCAGTTTTTTTCATGGGAAATTATTATGATGATGTTTTCATAGTGAAAATGCTAGATTATACACTAGATTCCCTGTGAGAATACTTGAGGAGAGCACTGTAATTAATGTTATTGAGCTGTTGCTGGTTGTTGGCCAGTAAAGGCATTTGATGAGCCTTACAGGTCAATACAGCACCAGTCTGAGCCTCATCTTTGTCCGGGGGCCTGCTTGACCGGCAGTCCTCACATCATGACACCCAGTAGGCTGGCTGTGGGCGGACTTGTGTCCAACTGTGTATTGACTTGCAGCAGACTCCAGTGTCTTTATGGGGCCTTGTTAGCACAGTGGCACTCCAATTGATGCTAATAGTCCTGCAGTTCACTGGAGGGCTGGTAGCCCGAAAAACTGGCAGATGTCTCTCGTGACAAGTGTTACTGTATGTTCCAGAGGAAAAAACGTGTCCTCATCTCCCCTGAGTTAGCAGAGTAATGATTTGTTAGCAGCTGACAATTCCAAACTGGAAATTCTAAAAAGAATAATAATCAATGGGTCCAAATGTGTGTCTTTTAAAGACAAATATTTTGCTCTTTGTGAGTGTTTTGTTCTATTTTCAAAGTAAATAGATTTTTTTTTAAATAAAAACATAACGAAAAACCTACAACCATGGCATTTTGCACTTCTCCAGAGTGTTACATTGCAGTTAGTGGCAACAGGTTGCGTCACCTTTTTGTTCCCTTGCCTTGTCACCAGCGAGCCCATGTGGCCTATTGAAGCCCGGAACGCAGCCATTGCCAACCACTGCTTCACCTGCGCCATCAACCGAGTGGGAACGGTGCGTACTCCTCTCACGCGCGTTTCCAGAGACCATGACAGTGTCAGTTCCACACAGCTGCGGTCTTCGCCTGAACCGACTGGCTTAGTGTGAGAAGGGTTACAGCAGAGAAACACATCTGAAGGAATCCAAGGTTCTGTTGTTACACAGTGCTCAGGCATGTGCGACTTGGCTGTAGTCTGGTTCTTGACAACTACTCCACATTAAAGTTAACTAAAGTTTCTTCAGACTGTCTGTGAGGGTTTACATTCATTAAAACCATCGGAACCAGCAGCTATATCACCATGCAGATTCACAACTAGCAACCCACTGAAGGTAAGCAGGTGTGAGCCTGGCTTGTACTGTACTGTGCTTTGTGGGAGCCCTCCTGGGAAAGCTGAGGCTGCTGCTGGAAGAGGTGTTAGTGGGGCCAGTAGGGGGCGCTCACCATACAGTCTGTGTGGGTCTTAATACACAAGTAAAGTGACCAGGACACCATAGTGGGGAAAAAAAGCACTGTCATTCGAATGAGACGTAAAAGGTCCTGACTCTGTGGTTATTATTGTTGTTGTTGTATAGAGTCAGTATTGTTTCTTACTAATGCATTACAAATTGGATTTATAGCTGGTTCTTCATGTGGTATTCATGTGAGATACTACATGGGTTATCTTATGAATACCCTAATGATCACAAATATGTAGTAGTTCAGTCTGGGAAAACTATAACAATGTTAGGGTTGTTTTACTGTACAGTGTCAATATGCCTGGGAGCAAATTGTAGTTAGCTGTAGTTAGTAGCCTACATTTTAGATAATGTAAGCACTTTTAGCAGTACTATAGTTTGGTGATATAACTATATTAGTCATGTTCTCGACTACAGTACCAGAGAAATTCAGTCATTTGTTAACAATTGTCCTACTATCCACTATTGTATAAAACAGTTTATTATTACAAAGAAAATTGTGAATGGAAACAAATATCTTACAGACATTTTGCTCATATACTGTTATTTATATAAGGTATGTGTTATATATGCGTTAATATATGTTCATTCGTTTGATCACTATATGCTTTTTTTTTGCAATAGCTAAATTATTGCAGTCTGACCACAAAGGGTTTTTACACACAGTTCTGCTGTGAGCTAGTCTTCACAACACAGCTCAAGATTTCCTCTAAAACTGCTGTTTACTCTACAGTACGTGCCTCTTCAGCAGCTGTTACATATCAGCTCTGCTGTTACTTGACATTTTTATGGTTTTAAAAGAAAACACATTTTTTTAATGGGTTGCAGGCATCCTAATTTATTAATGCATAAACCACTCCTTCTCTGTGAAAATCCTACAAGAATTGGGGATAGTTTTGTTGGATTCATATGGATGTTTTTCTCACTTCCCTGCCTCTTTCCCATTCACCCAACATCACTTTGGGATTAGGTGCTCAATTTCTGTGACTGTGCAGTCCATTCCTGCCAAATGAGGCCCAGCTACAATAGTTAAGGTGACATCTGAATGACGTTCCTAGGTTTACGACACCCAGAAAAGATGTGTAGCTGCAAGGTATTTATTTCAGCAAACCTCTATGTGGAAGTAAACAACCCAAAAAAGAATAATGTTACTTGTAATGAACCTCCCCTAAGTCAGAAAGTGGATTGTCCTTAGTGCCCTGAGGATCCCTGCGTTGTGTTGACATTTCTTTATAAACAGGAGACCTTTGCCCAGAATGCTGGCTACAAGCAGGAACTGGCTAAGTGATTTCATAAAAGCTTAGTTGTGTCCACTACAGGGAATGACGTTAGGAGAGACAAGAGATATCGCTCTTCTCATTTCTTTATATTGGATAGTGCAGGAAACTAAGCTGAACCCTGGGCCCAGACAGATTGACTGAGTTCAGAAGTACACACGACAGCAAGCCACATACTGTATGCAGAGATTGGCACGCACACAGACGGGAAGAAAAAAGATTGTTCAAGGCTACTGACCTTTCAGAAAGAACAGAAATACAGTTTTATCCTCTGATGTTTGTTTCTGCCTCATTACTTTGCCTTAAAATGCAGTTTGCCTCCAAGAAGAATTAAATAAAACATTTTATCATTGCAGCAGCCCCTAAGGCTAAAGCATCAATGGCCTCTAAACAGGAACATGAAAAACAGGAGTTTTGTTTAGAATGCATCTTATTCTTGTACCACAAAGGGAGGATGCTTACCTAGATACTAGTCACGAGACAATTCAATAGGAGTTACATTGGTAAAGAGCTTCAGAAGTTCTTGATATTCCAAATTTAAAAGCAAAACTGGTTCAGAGGCTTAAGGCATTGATAACCCCCAACAGCAATCTCATCATCATAACCATGGGAAATCGGCTTTTCAAAACAGTTTGATTGATGGGCAATTATTCGGTCATTTTAGCATTTGTTGCCTATTTAATTAAGGATAGTCATTGATTTTGTTACTTCCGAATGATCTGGAGTTAAGCAACTGTGGCTGATTCTCACAGGGGAGAAAGAGGAAGTGTAGACAAACTCTTCTGCCCTTTTAGACACACGACAGGTAACAGAGCCTGAGTCCGCGACTGGAGTCCGCGCCAGCTGAAGGACTGCGTGTCTGCAAGTGTGCAGGAAGTTGCAGCGTCTGCTGTGTCATTGAGAGAATTCTGACCAGCTAATCACTCCCTACCCTCAGCGGTACACATCTAAAGTGCTGAATCTTTCCATCAGCCTCAAGTTTTGGTGGAGAGATTGCACAATCCTCATTTCCTCCCCACAGTCACGAGGACTGACGTGGTCAATCAATCTGACGACCAATTGCAATTCCAAATTCAGAGGTTATATAAAAACGTGGTCCTGTAGTGACCTGCTGTATTCTAATTCTATTCTATTCTATGAAGAATCTAACATCTTAACAGGAATCATTTTAAGGTGCAAGCAGCAGCATAGTATGTGAACCAAAAACAGATGTTTCTCTATTCTAAACCCCCCCACCTTTTGATTTCACTACCAGTTACGCCACCTCATAGTTTTACTTTCCTTTTCTTTCCTTCAGAGTTTTGTGGTTCAACGCTGCCCTCTAAAGGAAAAAAAAAGGCTTAGTCTATATTAAGCACTGACATTGTACATTTTTTATCAATGGCACATAACAAGATCCCGTTTCTTATATTGAAATTCCAGAGAGGTATTCAGTAGTTCATTACAGTATTAATGTACCAGAATTCATTCCAAGACCCTTTATTTCTAACATTCTTTGCTTCATGTTTTCATCCAGGAGCATTTTAAGAATGAGTTTACATCCGGAGATGGAAAGAAAGGTAAATAAAATATCAAGCCCCGATCTTGACAGATGAAATGTGGAAAGTGGGAGTTCAGTCTGTTTATGTGTAACCTGCAGTCTGACCTAAATGTATATACGTGTATTTTCAGCAACAACTGATTAATACACCGTGGCACAGTGGTCAGCATTGTTGACCTGCAGATCTGGGGTTCTTGCGCCGATTCTGGACCCAGGGTGCAATCTGTGTGGAGTTCGTATGTTCTCCCCCTATTTTCAAGGGTTCCCTCCCACAGTCCAAAAACATACTGGAAGGTTAATTGGGTTCTGGGAGCATTGGCTCTGCTGTGAGTGTGTGGCCTGCAAAGGACTGGTATCCCTCACAGACACTGCCTGCTGGGATAAGCTCCAGCTTCCCTTGATCCTGAACTGGAAGAAGAAATTGGAAAATCTATGGATAATTCACTGATGTGTTAAAACTCAAATAGATGTTTGTTAGTGGCTTAGAGACGTGGACTCCGGACCTCTATCATAAGTGCAGGATACCGAAGAGGAAAAGATATTTGTCTGCCGTTTAATTATTATGAATAGGAATTTAGCTGGTGCCTTTATTTCAAGGTGACATTTTCAAAACAGTTAACTAGTAACTAAAAAAAAAAATTAAAGTACTGTAAAGTGGAGCTTGAAGTTAAGATTTAACACTATAATGAATACTTCCCAAAACAAAACTCGGCAATAGTTACAATAAAATGAAGAGTGATATTGCAGTAAACCTGAAGAGCAAACAGAATTGTAAATCAAATCGAAATCGAAACTAGCTGTTTGCTGCGATAAGAGCAGGGCTGGACAGTAGGTTCTGGACAGCACGGCTGGGATTTGCAGAAGCCGGTCAGACTGATTAATAACTCGCGCCCCAGCTATGGATTTGCAGTGTATGAAATAGAAAATGACATAAATTCTCTCTGAGCCTCTGCTTGGCCAGCGCTTTTGGCGATGGGGCTCATGTTAAGCCTTGGTTATGGGCTTTTCACAGAACATGACTTTGTTGCCATTACATGAACTGGTTCTGTCCAGTCAAGTCATGGCCTGGGCAGTTAATGCAATCGGTTTATAAGCAGTACTTCCTGGTAAAGAAAGTACCTTGTTTAGTGTTGCCCTTTGCCCAGACTGAATCGGCCTGCTGCTGCCGTATCTGGTTTTGGTCTTGACGTTCTTGTGTTCCTTCAGCTCACTCCGATTTCGGCTACTTCTATGGCTCCAGCTACGTGGCAGCCCCTGATGGCAGCTGCACCCCGGGCCTGTCTCGCACCCAGGACGGCCTGCTGGTCGCTGAGCTGGATCTCAACCTCAACAGGCAGATCAGCGATAAGTGGAGCTTCAAGGTAAGACGGCTGTCACCCATGGTCAGAATGATCTCGGCCCAGCAGCACGTCTGCTGTTGCGCAGACATTTACATTGTGATGCAGCAATTTCTGAGAAGAACAGTGCTCGGTTTTTGAGAATCATTTGTTTAATATGGAACCATTTCCACAGTGGATAATAAGGATCTTAGTGCTCAGGCATGTTCTGCTGTTACCTGAGAGCAGGGCTTCGAAACAGGGGCTCATACTTAATAGAGTCAATGTTAAAGATGCAGAATCACCTGCAACAGAAAGTGAACTTTTCATTGCTGTCCTATTCTTGCATTCTCCAGTGCATTTTACATGAATGTCAGTTTTTTTCTATTTTAATTTGAACAATTGGTTTCCGTTTTAAACCTGGAAATGCTGATATCCAGCTTGATTGTAACTGGCAGATGATTGGAACTACAGATTCCTTACTCAGGCAGGTCTGTTCTGCTCAGACAGGATACAGTGCTTTTCCCCTCCTGCCTCCGTAAAGGGGTGCCTGACTGATGTGTGTGCTTCACAGATGACGGGGAGGTACGACATGTATGCAGAGCTGCTGCACAAGGCCGTTCAGCCGGACTTCAAGCCCGACATCGTCAAGGAGTCATGACTCCCAGTGCCCACGGCCTTCCTGGAACGATGGAGCAGAAGAGACGGCAAGCACACAACCTGTTCATTCACACTGCTCTTGTGAACGCCCAGCAATGTCAGGCTTCCTCTTCTCAACCCTGTTCAATAGCACGTTTCCCAGTCTTGGAACCTAAAGCAATGAGAAGCCAGGCTTCAGTTTAGGAAAGCCATAATCCTGCGCCTTTAATAGGCATTTTTGTTAAAAAATGCCTTGTTAAGCTCTGGAAGAAACATCTATTGAACTGAGAAATAATTCAAAGTTATACTGGCAGGAGATGAAGATACAAATAACATTACAATATTGCAGCAAAAGGCAGCATTGTAGCGTTTAAAAAAAACAGAATCAGGAGCAGAGGCACTGAAAAATAAACTATTCCAACAGCAGAATTTGACTGTGAAAAGTGTCTCTTAATATGTATTGTATATGTACACATGCCTAAAGCAACGTTTTTTTGACAACTGATTGTGAGATTACTCAACAAACTACAGAACATGACATTTCTAATAAGAATATTGTGGCCAGACTGGACAGGCCACCTTTGGAATAATGAGGTATTCTGCATTGAAAGCTAAACACTCAGTAGAGTTCAGTGAGCATCACTTGCTAAAAGCTGAAAACTTGAGTGCACTTGAAATCTTTCAGATTTCAGTGTTGGCTGTCAACCTGTAATAATGAAATACAATCAAAGGTGCTACATAAAGATGTTCATGTGCATGATAAAAGTCCACACATATGAAGTCATATAAATCTAACTGTTTTAAATAAAAGTGGAAAGTTTTTCAAGAAACTAGAAATATTACAGCAATGCTGCTTGGAAAACGTGGAATCTAGAGGAATGTTTTATTTATCAAACAGATATCTACATGCAAAGTAGTTTTGTATATGCAAACTTGTGTGCACACTGTATTCCAAGAATATCCATTTCTGACATGAGCAGAAAAGAGTCTTTGAAACTGAAGATTCATGACTCGATTGAAAATAACAGGGCTGTACTGAATGCAGATACTTACACGTGGTTTCCTTTTAAGTAATTTCCTTCACTGATACAGTTACAAGGAGATTTTACTTTTAATTTGCACAGTCACTGGTGTGTAATTACATGGATAAAAAATATCTTAAAGGAAACCCTCAAGAACCATTTGTATTTTTATCACAACCCCAAACAATAAAAGACACAAACCCAGACTAATCAAAGGGATCAAACCTCTCTGTGCATTAGTATTAATGAAGACAAAGATCAACGTGGTTTTAAATATTCTTAGATCCAATGCATATTCCAGTAATACCTTTCTTCGTTTAACTTCCAAAATGATACAATATATTATACATACAATCATATTGGTGTACCAATATCATTTTCAAACAGACCGCACTACTTATTCTTTTCATTACAACAATGCTGAAGTGGTTTACAAAAAATAACAATACCACAGAAAATACTGTACAATTTATCTAAAGAATTTTCACTTTTTGCAATCATTTCCCTTTGTCAAACAAGTTGAAAACTGAGGATGACAAACATAGAAGAAAAAAAAAACTCTAAAATGGTAAACCTCTACTACATGAAAACTAAAATGTATAGTAGAGGGTCTCTTCCCCTTGCAATCTGCTGTGTGCAGACTGTGGTCCTGTGAAACAGCTGACTGCACTCTGCAGCACAAAGCAGTCCCCAAGGCTGCACCTGGATGTGAGGTTCTTGTGTTTTCCTAATAATGTTTTTGAAACAGGTGTGGTGCTTGTGTGTTTCCTGGTATTTGAAGCTGAAGACAGGTGAGGTGCGTACTGTATGTTTTCCTTTTCATTTCACCAGCTCACGGAGGAAAGGAGATTTCTCCCAAACCTGTTTTTCAAGCCCAGTTCACACTGGTACTGTATATTTTGCATTAACACAAGATAAGAATGCAGATACTATCCAACAACAGAACCTGAAGTATAACAATTTCAGGTTGGATAAAAAGAAGGCAAAAACCATTCGCTTGCTTTTGAAGTGCAGTCTGAACTCAAAAAGATTTTACCTGAAAGATTGACAGAATCTGAAATTTACCAAATTAAATAATTAACTGAAGCAGCATATACATAAACATTAACCCTTTTTCCCCATAAAAACAGTCAAGTATAGTACTCCCACAATTGCAGGATAAGCCCTTCTTATACCTAAACTGAGGTCTGGTAAAGCTTTGAGAGTCTGTATCTCAAATGTATTAAATCAGTACGCTTTTAAAATTACCCACCTCCTCTGAAATAACGCCTGCTCAAGAATCAGGAATTATATCAACCAGGCCTAATGTGTCAAAACACATCATCAAAAAGATGAAAACATATCAGAAATGCAGTTAACCCTAGCTATAATGATAACATATAGTACCTCTAATTTGGATACAGAGGCCCATGAAGGAACATTACAAAAAACTGACAGAATCTTTCAGGTGTCAAAAAAGTTATCGACACCTGCAAACACCTCCAGCTTGTTCTGCTTAGGTCTTGGACATCCGTCACCATTGGATCATAAGTAAGGTGCAGACAAACTGTTGTTAAATTTTCAAGCTTGCCGACCAATAATATACAAATACAGGATTGGCTTTTTCATCTCAAGAGGTGAGGAAAGCTCCAAATGAGCACATTTCTCGTTTCCACTCTAGAGAAAACCTGGGGATATTTCAAAATGGTACAGAAAACACAATATAAAGGGATCAAGCTTTCTGACCACTATCATTTGCGATTACCGATCATACTGTTGAGAATATCACTGAACCACTTTTGTTGGAACCTCAATACTATTTTTATATTTTCGTCTTTACATTAACCTCACAGAGAAGGTTTCCTACATCTTAAATTGCACGTTGATTTTAAAAAATGTGCCAGACTCTGCTTTTTCTCAATATGTGGAACTCGCCCATATGCACAGAAGGAAAAATCATAACACTGGACGTGTTCAGTCACATTTTCTACATTCTGTCCACAAAAAAAGAAATTCCCTTACTTTGACACCACCTGAAACACGTGGTTTATGAAGGTAGACAAATGACACAGTGATGTGTTTTTTTGTGCAATCAGCCATTTTTCCATTGGAACAAACAGCCCCATCTAAAGATACCATGCTGCCCAAACTTAAAGATCAAAGCTGCTAAGTTCTGGTGCAATGTCCTAGGCTGTAAACAAACAGCAAAGCTGTCACGGTGTAGTGCTCGTGTGCAGAAATCAGGCATGTCTCCCGGACATCAGCTCTCCTTGTAGACAAACAGAATGTCTTCGTCTGTCCCATAGCTTTTTCGTGCCTCCTCAAAGTTACTTACGCTGGTATAACACACTCCTGCAAAATACACAAGGAATTTTTTTGTCACTGAAAGCAAATTTCCTTGGATGCAGTCTGTGTTTCAGAATGCATGGAATACATTCCTGCAGTCCTTCAAAACCATGATCTTTCAGAAAGACATTTCTTTTGCTCTGCTATAATGGAACTATTTCATATTCCAGTTCTTACCACTAATCAAATCAAATCTTCTTTAAGATCACAGGAAATGAATTTTTAAATGTTATCTTCCATAAGTATCCCACTCTGGCATCAAAGCAGAGTATGTGTTCATACTCAGAAATTTTAGAGAGGATTGGATTTATAAAAGTTCTGTACTACTTCTAAGGAACACAGGAAAGACAAAGGTCTTGTCATTCAAAACGGCAATTCAATGAAGACCATGACACATCGGAACAACTTTTTTTCCCCCACAGTTGTTCCTTACTGTGGCACTCTTTTTCCATCTTCCCAAAGGAATCACTTCAAGGGGAACTCACTGTCTGAGTAAGCTGGGTTGTTGTAGAAGACAGAGTTGGTGGCAAGGTTGAAGCCACACACCACCACAAAGTGCCCCTGGTAGTCAGGCTTCCTGCAGAAGCACTTCTGGCCCACAGGAAGGAAGCAGCAATACTTGACAGGGGTGGAGCAGAGGTCACAGACCAGGAGCACAGCATTCACCAGCACTATCGCCACGTGCCCTTGAGCCAAGTGATTCTGGATGTCCTGCATCGTCACAGAGCTGTAGAAGATCAAAATCACTCCTGTTACAGGCTAAATCAACTAAAAAAAATAAAAGCATTGATATTTTCTTTAAACCGGACATATGTACTCTAAATCTTGGGAAGCTCTTCTACAATTCATTCCACATGCTCTCTTAACACCTTCACCTAATCTCTTATGGCTTGAATTAGTCCAAATTTCCACTGTATTCAGACGTTCGCCTTTGTTAATCTCAGAGAACCTGCAGGACCAGGGGAACATACAGTTTTCTTGCTTTAATCCCACTTCAGAATAAGGTGAAATGTGAGAAGAACATCAGCACTCACTATCCGGACGTTTACCATGTCTAACATTAACATTAACAGAGTTTAACGTAGAAGTCATTTTCAGGCTTGTAGTTTTATTCATAAGACTGTGGTTAAAGTTCTATTAGGGAATGGCCATTAAAAGAAAAAACACCACAACAAGTTGGAAGCAGGTGGCACAAGCAGACAGAAGAGTGCATGTTGTAAATGTCATTGTTTCTCTGACATTTGCAGGTGTCTTGGAGATGCTAAGTAGACAAATGAAAATTCTATTTTCCTGCTGAAAGCAAGAACACAGCAGATGTAAAAAAAGGAAAGCAAAAGGACACAAAATGATAAAATACCTACCGTTTCTTCACCACCACCCCATTGCTCTCTGCCTTGTTAAAGAGCTCATTCACTCTGTCCTCTTCGGTGTCAAAATGCTTTTTGTAAAACGACTGGGGAAGCAGAGGGAAGCTAGTCAATTACTTACATGTAAGGTTAAGTATTACATGACTGTTCACTTTTCGCAGGTGTGTCAAGGAAAAGGACCATAAAATTAAAGAACTCATGGAACTTTCCAAAGGAATAGAGGTGGTTATCCATCTGTCCTACCAAAAAACTACTTTGGGCATGAATAATCTGGCCGTATAAAACTACTCTCTTAATTCAACTGGCAAAAAAATGTCACTTCTCGCCTGCTCCACCTGGGGCTGCTGGCTTAGAATGGCTGCAGTGTGTCTCTCAGGTGGGGGCTACACTTCCGTAGCAGAGACGTCAGTCCCCTCCTATATATATATAAAGAACTTTGATATCCTTTTGTAATGAAAACATCTATATAAGTGTATTAAATTCTTATTAAAGCACAATAAACATTTGTGACAACACCTAATGGCCCACTGCACAGTAAATGAACCAGTTGAGCTATTTGGCCAGAGTGCCTACAGGTAAACTGGATCCACTACCTAACCGAGTTACCTTAGCACGAAATATTCCAACCTATAGAGGTCTTTAGCCCTATAGTTCACACCAGTCGGACTGTCAGGAAAGTGCAGAGTTGGCCAGTACCTGGTTTCTGTAGCCCTTATCTACCCCAAGGGTCTGGGTGCAGAACTGATGTCTGACTCCCAGGTGGCTCATGAGGTAGGCCAGGTCAATAGTCCATACACTTTCGGTCAGCTTGAGCTCCCAGCAGGCATTCTGAAACTCCTCCTCACTCACTGGGTGGAGGTACCTACACAGTAACGTCAGGGGGCAATAAAACACAGCACTGCTGCAACCACTTCCTTATGTTCCAATAGCAGTTTGACCCATTGCAAGCTTTTAAAACTGCATTGTTAGTTCACAAAACTACAGCTGCATGCCACACATTCGCACTAAGAGCCACGACTCTAGCTATGCGATGAGCTAGATATCCAGTTAGGCAACATAAAAAAAACAATCATCATAAATTAAGAACAATAATCATTTTCATCACCACATTTTATGTTGTAAATGCTACTAAAGTTCCAGTCCATTCTGAATGTAGTCTACAAAATGTTTTTCACTGTCTTACTTACTTCAAAACCATTCTGGAACAAGCCAGCCCACAGTCCCAGTGATAGAGCTGCCGAATGGCAGGTACTTTCAGTTGAACAACACCATCTAAACAAATAAAAGGGCCTTGACGTGAATATACTGAGATATTACACTTCTGGTGTGTTACATAAAAACATAGCGATAAAATAAACACTGAAAACATGCAACCCTGTATTGGACAAAGTGGTAAGAAATTGGATGGAGGAAATGTTAAATGCACCTACTGTAGCAACTAAACTGCCAAACAAGCAATATGGTCAATTGTTTCCTTTTATGCAGTAATACATATATAATTAGGGATCGTCAATGATTTCAAATTAGAAACTGTCTAATCCAGTGATTCCTAACCCTGGTACAGGAGAAACACTGCTTTTTTTTTCCTTCCAACTGAGCTCTATATCTCCATATCTCTATCTGACTTAACAGATCTGCATGCTTTTTTAGCAATTTATTTATCTTGTTTCTTTGTCTTGAATGCCACACATACCCTACTGTAAGGGTACTGTTTCCAACAACTACAGCACACAAACCTGTATGCAGTCTGTTCTCAAATTGCCGTCTAACTAATCACTGGTTGATAATGAACAGACACAGGTGGGAGTGAGAGTTTATCAGACATTCCCAGAATAGGCAGTTTTATTTTTCTTCTGCAGGAGGGTACAGTGAGTACTTCTCAGGCAGCACACACGCACGACACTCAGAAGTCGGTACGTGCTTGATACCAATTACGAATCCCATTTGGTCTTTTAAGAGCTGAAAGCACATTTCCAAATGCGCACCGAAAACAGAACTGAAATCAACTACCTGCGATAAAATACACGGCTGGGGAAAAAAACACGGATATGAGCTACTCTTATCACTGAACTAAACTGTAAACACGCTGTACGGAGCTGTGTCAATCGGGATAGCGGGCTCAGTCACGGATGTTAACTCCATTTACGTGACCGGTGAATAAATGTACCTACCACGCTACTGTACGACCCAGGGTTTATTTACAGTTAATTCGATAGTGGTTCGTGTAGTGTTTTAACTTGTTTTACATGCAGGACAAGAAGTGCATAGCAGGTTGAAGGACATTTGTGCTCAGCCGCAAAGCGAACTTCTGAAACCAGTCACACCACTGCTCCTCTTAATTTATTTTCAGATGCCTGACGAGAAACAGTCGTGTACATTAAAACGCTTAACACCTGTGGTAACAGGGCCCGCAACACCTCGACAGCACGACGGGATCTTTCCTGGAGCCTCGAAATCGTTGAATATGTTAATTTCCAACAAGGGCTGATTTAAAACAAAAACAAAGCGGGACCATCCCAAATCATCCAGTTCGTCGACACGGAGTACTACGCTAACGCTTCATCTTACCTGTCATTCTGTGCTGCTTGTTTTTTATATAATGCTGTTAAGTCCTTTTCACTTTCTGCGCACGATCTGGCGATTTTCAGAGAGGAAACCGTCTCAGCACCACGGCGCTGGGTCTGTTCGCCGGACATGAACATTAGGAGCCACAGTTACGACCCCGGTCCGGGCCGCCTCTCTCCGGCACTACAGTGCTGATCTGCTGGGCACCTCTGCCTGCATCTCCGCCGTACGCAATTTCCTCTTGCAAAACGAGGACTTCCACAGACGCTCATTTGAAAACCGCTGCGCCTACAGCGCCCTCTAAACACAGTCAAGGATGGACGAGAACTAGAATAAATAGGCTGTTCTTATAATATATTGTACTCCAGTGTACTACTCGTGACAGTAGATGGTGAGATATTCGGGGGGTTCCGGGTTTTTTGGGGGGCACTTTCCACTTGGTTTTTTTTTTTTTTTTTTAGTTTTGTTGGGTAGCTGCTTAGAGCCATTCTTAAACGTCACAAAATCAAGTGCATCTTCAACTTGTTTTTCTTTCCTTTTCAGAAAAAGAAGGGGTTTGGAATAAACCCAGCTAGTGATCAAGAAGAAGGTTTAATGAAATAATAAGAACTTATACATTGATGAGAGCTACTGTATATCTTTACAAATGTTTTTCGTAGCACAGTAAAAAAAAGTTGGAGCAACAGAACATGTTTCCTCCTTGTGTGGTATTTAGTAAAAAGAAAGCCCGTTATACTTATTTTCATTCTTTGCAAAGGAGAAATTTTAGAAGACGTTATGTTGGTTAAACTACAAATCCCAACATTCATCATAACGACGGAAAAACCCAAATCGAACCGGAAGCACTTTGTGACTTCCTTTAACGCGTTGCATTGTGGGGTATTGGAAACGAACAAAATCGTACTCCGAGGCGGTCAGGTTTTAAACACGCTGCCGTTCACAATTAAAACCGGGAAACGGTTAAATAAGAGAAGGAATTCAATATTTGCTGTGAACAGGTAAGAATTTTATTTTTCGTTACAAGTTGTAAGATATTACCTTTCTTTTAACGAAGGGAATCAAGATTATGAGTTCGTTGAAGGTAGGAAATGAACTTGATTTGAATGGCGTGGAAATACTTTACGTTAGAAAACAAATATACCTTCTCCTGAAGTATTTTCTCCCAGATGCAAAACAAAAACTTTTTTTTTTGCTAATGAGATGTTTTTTTTTTACCCATAGCTAAAGCTACCCAAGTCTCTTTGGGCTTTGCCATAACACAAAGGCCGTGTCGAAGTAGAGACCGTTTGTTCTCATTTACTGCTTTGAAGAATATGTTTCGAAAGTGCAGAATATCTGCTTCGAAGATTGTTTTAGTGAATGTTGCTTAACGCACTGGTCTATTATCTGTAAAAAGAGTTGCCTAATTTTTTTTTTTTTAATCTTGTGAAGTGCACATTATCACATCTATTTTGTAAAATGTATGCTAACAAACTGTCAAAAAAGTTAAAAGTACTAGTGAATTTCGCTCTGGGGTCCATCTTGATCACTGATGGTATATACCAGGTTAAATCAGATTGCTCTTTAGACTCGAACTAAACATGCGTACCTATGAGTAAATGCATCCAGTATCCAGGTTTTGATTCCTTTGTGAACAGCTAATGGCCTGCTTGGTCCATACAAACCCTTTACAATTGTCTAAATTCAAAATCTAATACTCGTTACTTGAATGCATTTTAATCTTGTTACCTAATAACAGGCATTTACAAAAACGTGTGATGTGTAACCTTAACTTGTGTACAAACTGAGCTGCAGGACAGAATCTAATTTATCGGGCATGGGGTAGAGATGCTGGCTTTTTCCAAGGTATCCAGAAGCATGGTTTTGTGTGTTCTAGCCTAATATTGCTCACCTGAAATTATTTGCCTCCCTGTCATGGTGTTTGTTTAGGGGTCCCAGTTAAAATGTCCATCGGAGTGCCTATCAAAGTTCTGCATGAGGCCGAGGGTCACATCGTCACCTGTGAAACCAACACGGGCGAAGTGTACAGAGGAAAGCTTATAGAAGCAGAGGACAATATGAACTGCCAGGTAAGCCTGATAAGTGGTTGAGATGAGAAATGCCAGGGGTCACAAAACCAAGCAAACCTTTTAGGCCGGTGACCCCATATAATTTCACACATTATGTGCTTTTGATGCATTCTTTGAATTAATCTCATGCAGAGTTGTGCACATGCAAGTGAATTTAAAGCTGCTTTTTTTTGTCTTCCAGATGTCTAATATCACTGTGACATACAGAGATGGACGTGTGGCGCAGTTGGAACAGGTCTATATCCGGGGCAGCAAGATAAGATTTCTAATCCTGCCGGACATGTTGAAAAACGCCCCCATGTTGAAGAGTATGAAGAACAAAAACCAGGGCTCTGGAGCTGGAAGAGGGAAGGCTGCCATTCTCAAAGCTCAAGGTATGTTGTACACCAGACTCCAATTCAGAGGACAGTTCTCCAGGTGGTGTGTTTCTGTAGAGGACTTCAGCGTGATCAGCAGAACCCTACAGAAATATCGAAGTTATTTGTTTTTATTAAATTTATTCCTTAGCGTCCATCATACTGATGACTGTCTTGAAATAAAGTAACGCCAGCTAAAAAGTGCTCTTCGATCACCACCTGCTGACGTGTGCATCGTTACTTGGTTCTACACCTACGTAATGACCTGGGTTAAACCTCCTTAGGTTTGGGTGCATGGGTTAAGGCCTTCATTAGAAGTAAGACATTCGTATCAGGTCACGTGGCTGCTAATAAGTTACTGATCTGAGGGGCCTGCCATTTCTTGAACGATGGAACTTATTCCAGAGCAGCAGTATTGTTGATAATCTGTTGATCGGCATTGCCAGTTAGTGCAGCTTGTTTGCAATTATGGGGTGATGAACACGTACTGTATATTGTGTCCACTTTTTTCTTTTTAAGTGGCTGCGAGAGGAAGAGGCCGCGGGGGAATGGGAAGAGGAAATATTTTCCAGAAGAGACGATAACCCTCAATGTGCACTTCATGGCCTTTTCTTACTGTACAGTTTTTTTAAAAGGTTGGGTGATCATTCACGATGTTGTCTGTTAAAAGGCAAATCATTTTTGATTTTTTTTTCTGGCAAGTTTTTTAGGTGCTCAATAAAAATAGGTATAATGTCCAGTGTTTGTGCAACTCCTTTACTTTCACATTTTAACAAATCAATATTCAGTCAGTGCTGTCTTTAACATTTGATTTACTGCAGTCGAATCTACATGAAAGGGGCAGCTGTTTATGTAATTCAACATATTGATCCTCATAACAGCCTTTAAGTTTGGTCTAAAGATGATTTTCAACTTCTGTCACTTTTGTACTGACTTATAATGAAGTTTGTATTGTAAGAAATGTCGGGTTTCCATTCAGTCTTGTTTCAAAAACATAATTCACCTTATGAGCTTCTCCAGAATTGATGCATTGATAAAATAATGTCTAGTGGACAACATAGTCTGGTTTTGTTTTAATAGTAATTCATATCTTTGGCCGTTAAATAAAAAACGTATGTTGAACATAAGTGCAGCTGTGCCTTTTTTTTTTTACTCTTCAGGTTTCATACTTTGTCTGTTCCCAGTGATCTGCTGGTGTTTCAGTTTTGTGTAATCTAAATCTGGCAGCTGACACATCTTCCACTCTAGTGTCTCTGAAGCTCCCTCTTAATTCAGCTGAAGCCATTTCTGACTCCCCCACCTGATCTGCTCTGTAGCGGGGCTGTTGGTGCACATCTACTGTACCACTTCTCTCAGGTGGGTGCTGCTCTTTGGCAGTGGGTGAAGTGCACATTCAAATATGCAGAGTGTGTTGAGGTGAAATGTTATAGAAATCCAATACATTAGAATATAGAGACTGATATAGTTTTACCGACCAGGCCAGTGCCATTCATGCATCATGCTTGATTCAAATAGTTTCAAAGTACTTTTTGGAGAAATCAGAAGTAGGGTGGTCTCATCTTGGGATTAATGTCCTGGGTTTGAACAGTGAATAACACTGTCACGGCTGGACTGCTATATATATGTAACTTTTTTAGAAAAAAATATGGCAGGGTTTTGTTTGCATGTACAGTTAAGAAAATACACAAACATCGGCACCCAGCAAAGAATCGACATTAAAAATGAACGTCGAGATACATTGATTAGGACCTTTCTGCCCACGAGAGGGCGTCAGAGAGCCACAATTTCAGTGTACGTGGGTGTTATGCGTCGCTAATGCATATTTCTGTAACTTTGAGAGGTAATGGGTTGTGAGTTAGTCAGATATGAGCGTTTAAGTATGATGCAGCGTTCTCACGATTCAGACATTTTTAAACAGGGATACAGCTTTCTCCTTCACCTCCATTGCTAGCAGCCTATTTGCTTAAATTCACCATTTCTCGCCGGACACAGAAAACGTTAATTGAATATTTAATTTCACCAAAAGCATATCTCGTTAACCGTTCGCTTGCCCGCTGCTAAAGCCGTATTATCAACAGTATATCGCGGCATGGTATTCCGAAATCGAAGTACTAGTAATCGGTCAAAACTGATCAGACTCATTGTGGGGGAAAATCCCCATCTGAGACCAGTTCTGTAGGTTTACAGCTTGATCCCGCAAAACACTCCTCAGTTGAAGGAGGAGGATTTGATCTGTTTTATGTCGGGATTGGACTATCCCACTTCCAGTCCACCTATCAGCGCCCAGTCGTCCGCTCTCCCTGCCAGACAGCCTTATTTGCAGGGAAATCGTGCGATGGTGCTGGGAAAGTAGCGGAATCTGCAACATTTTCTGACGGGGAACATGAAAAGGTAACGCGTCTCCCTGAGATATGCACGGCTGGGAATTTCGCCAGGAAACGCGTGCGGTTTGGTGTAATGCGTTTGCGAGCGCGGTCTTCCGCTGAATTTGGCTGTTTGTGATTTTAACATCTGTCTTGTTAACTACAGCCAACGGGGCATGCAAACTCTCCCTCTCTTATCCCTCGCAAGAATGTGCGATTGTGTTTGAAAGGCGGGCGTTCGTCTCTCAATTTACTTTTCACTTCGTACTTGCCGAGTGTCCAGCCTAGTTGGCATTATGATCACAGGCGGAGAGAAACATGGGTGCGCGTTATAAGTGAATATATATTTTCACAATTAGCTAGTATTAACCGTGATTCATTAGTTCAGAACGAGGGCTCTGGCCTTTAAGAACACTTCATAGTTGAGAATGCGTCCTCGCAGCAAGAGCAGATGATTGCGGTTCAAGAAAGCGGAATCGGCGATGTGAACCATTGACAAAAATTGCACTCCTATTGCAAACGTCTCGGGCCGCGATCTCGCACACTATTTATTCTGCTGGGTAAGAGGCCTCTGATTTTGAGGGGGGGGTGGGCAGTCGGTAGGTTTTGCATTATTAACAAGCCCGGCCCGTGTTGTAGGATGTGTCCGTACAGGTAACGCCGATTTTCGCATGAAAGCGAAGGGAGAAATGAAAAGATCTCGGCGATCTTCACCCCACACGGTTGTTTTGGTTGTACTTCACTGTACTACGGCCGCTGTACCAACGTCCGCTGGGTCCTAAGACTACACGCGGCTCTCAGCATCTTGACTGAATCAGGTCAAGGGAAAGGGTTTCTTTTTTGGACTAGATCATCGTCTGTTTAGTGCATCGCGCCTGCCAGTAATTACAGTATGTGTGGTTAGTTGTTTCTGAGCATTTTGTCTAGGTAGCGCTGCCAAGTCGTATGGTCTTAAATATTATAGGTTTAAAGGAAATCAAATTTAAATAGTCTCGACATTTACTCACGTAAATGCATATCTATACAAATACTGCTTGTCCCGGATTTTTGTTTCAAGTTTGGTATTACTTTGTATCATAGCGCTGCAATGTGATTGATCGTTTACACTCCCCGAGGGTCACAGTCTTGCGGGGTTTCATACACCTCTTTAAAAAAAGATTATCCTCTTTAGATCTGAAAAAGAGAGATACACTGGTTCAGTTAAGGGAGTAGTTAGTTCAATTACTTAACAGCTCAGACAAAATCCAATTGCTTTTGAAAGTGGGATTTGAGAAACGCTATTGTAATGGTGTTTGCAAGGTGTTTAATCCAGGCTATGTAGCAATTACTGATGTGTCAACCCCAGTTTTGGGCCTGGTTGAAGAAATCAATAATAGCATGAACTCTCGTGTTCTACGGGTGTAATGGTAATTGAATGTCCCATGGCTGAGTGACTGTCACAGTTGTTTTGAAGCAATATCTCAGCTAAATCTCTAGCATGCTGTGTGGGTTTCCCTATGGGTTCCTGTCACTGCAGTGTGTAAAGGGATGAACAGTTTTTACTTGTTTCCACCTCAGCCCCCCACTGTGCTGGAGCAAGACTTTATGAAACAGCCTGTTTTTGATGACAGATTGGAATTGTTACAAGTGCATTGACAGCATCTCTCTCTTGCAGTGAATTCAGCCGACTTGTCAGTGAACATACAGTCTGATACTGTATGTACGAGACATTCAGAGGCATTAGTGTAGAGTAAGACTTATGCGTCTGATAATGGTAATAATATGAGAAATGTTCTTCAATCACAATCTCATTTGATTAGCATTGTAAAAAAAATAAGAGTTGAAATTTTGTCATCTTGAAACTACCCCCCTATTACAAGCTGTATTGTTCCATTATGCTATGAGGCACTGTGAATTAAATATCCACCTTGCCTTCTCTAGGGAGTTGGCCATGAAGAAACTGAAAATTGTGCTGTGAAGTTCTGTGAGATTTCTTGAAGCATATTGCATGATCTTTTCTGCTAGAAGCATTTAAATAGCATTGCTAAAGAACTTGTACAAACCATACCAGAGAGTTTTTTACAATGCCTGTATCATGTGGGCTATGTGTTTACCTAAAATATGTATGCAAGGGTATAAATTAGTGGAAGACAGTGACTGGAAGATTGTGTTTGCTATTTGAACCCTTTAAATCAGTGAGTTCAAAAACTGGGATTTTTTAGCAATTGATTACCCCTGGTGATTTGACTTCTTATTCAATTAATTAGGTCAATGAAATAATTGAGATTGGAGGTGGTTTGGAAATTAGACATCTTTCATGGCTTTAGGACTAGAGCCTTCTAGTCTAAATATTTTAGAATTGTTCCCAGTGCCACCTAAGGATTAACTGGGATATTTCCTGTTCTTTCTGGAACAAGCTTGATACAGCAATCGTTTTTGTTTGTGAACAAGACATGTCTTCAGTCGCATTGTTTTAAATCACAGCCCCACTGCTCAGATCCTTTAGGGTCACGAGCCAGCGGGATTTCTAGATCTCTTTAATTCATTGATAGCTTAAGACAGAAAGAAAATGGCTTAATAGTTTCTGTGTCGGTTCCTTACATGTAATCCAGTCACAACCTACCAGCTCAGGAGGTCCCTGTTACCCTAATAGCACCTCTAATAATAGATAATAATCCCCTGTCACCCAGTCATTTTAATTAGACCTGCAAACTGAATCTGGACACTGGGAGTCAGTCTGCTTCTGATGTACCATTCTTTAATACCAGCAGGAGCTATAGATGTGTCTTTACTAAGAGATTCCTTCTTAAGACAACTCTTGTGCTCTTGGGTGCCTTATCCATTCTAAGCATTTCAAAATCCCTTGCAGGCATTTTCAACTCAAATCCCTTGACTCTGGAATCCATCAATTTTCTATGTCTCTTAGTTAAGGATCTTAAATTGGTCAAATTAAGATTGAATTGGATCAATTTAATGCTTTTCCAAAGGTCTTCAGTGGTTTATATTTTAAAGGTATCTAGAAAACCTCGTGGTTCTCAGAATTGGGATGTCTTCCCTTCTTACATGCCTTTATTTCTTACATTTATTTCTCTCCCGCTCTGGGGTTTAAAAGGCTAGGCCGTGTGAGGGTGTTTTGACAAGCTCCAACATCTGGAGCAAGATGGCTGACACCATATAAACATCTGTTTGTTTCTAGGGCACAGCAGTGATGCTTTAGTTAGGCACTGTTAAATCAGACATGGCTTGTGTTTAAGCATTTAACTCTTTAGTACACACACACACACAACCATTGGATATTGTTGTTTTTCTCTCACTAATGCTGGTGAAGACCAATGCAAGATATGAATATAGAAAGCCAGAAGTGTAGCTTCAGTGAGTTCACATCGCTGTGGCTTGACAAGACTGGAACAAAGGTAAAAACCTCCACAAGGCAGAAGTATGATGGAGTCGCAGTTCACTTTGGAAGCTGAGCATTTCTGAGCTGTGGAAGGAAAATACAGACACCAGCGTGTACAAAGCAGATTGTCCATTACTGCAGGTCACACTCAGGAGATGGACCAGAGCATTCAAAGCACCCAGAGAAAATCCCATCTAAACTTTATTGATGTTGCTGTCTTTTTAATCATTTTATTTTATATTGTGCCTTTCATGTCAAGACATGCAAAAACACTTTACAATGGAGTAGTACATAGGCAGAAATAACACTTTAAGACAAAAAATACCCTTTCTGTATTACAAAATTTTTTTGAAGAAAGATGGGGAGGAGCATAAATTCTCTTGAAAGAGTCTCTTGAAAGACTGCAATGCAGTTTAGGCACATTTCTTTCTAAACCATTATCACCAGGAATGGAGGGTGAGCATCAGATTATTCCATTTTGTTTTTGAAACAATATTTAGGTTAGATGCAGTCTCTTCTTTGATCCATTTTGAGACAACCACATTTCCTTGCTCACTCATGAAAGCCGTAAAACCAGGACATTGTTGGTTTGCAGCTTAGGAGCGAGATAATAATTGCATATATTAAAAATGGGATAGACTGTCTGTACCAAACTCTGCTGTTTGTTGTATAAAACAACTGTGATTTTGGCCCATTTTTCAGAAAATGTGACAGGTTCAATTCACCAAACCACTCCTTTAATGGATTTACTTCATCTGTGTAATTTTGTTTTCTGTGGATATCTTAAGATATTTGATTTGCATTAGTGGAAGCTGTTTGTGTCATTAACGATTTTGCAAGAATCGAATCCCACTGTGGTGCAATTTCTGGTGGAACTGGATTTGATTCCCCATGCTACTGTATGTAGAAATAGAAAGCATTCCCTGTTTTATGGATCTGAGTTCAAGATTCTTTATCTGCTCTGTTTGCTTTGTTCTTTTTAATAGGTGTTACTCAATCCTCTTCCCCCATCCAACATCCCACCCCCCTGTGAAAGCTAAGATTGGATATCCTGCTGTAATGAGCCCATAAACAGATCTAATTATAAGCGTCTCTTAACATTAAGGAGCTTCTTCAATAAGAAAACAATGCCAGCTGTTTGTAGTTGTATAATTCCTAGAATCAGAATTGCAGGGGCTATTTGTTCAGATGCAAATAATTTTTAGAAATCTGCACTTGGCACATATCTTGTTTCACATACCTGGGGAAATGTTTTGTACACAAATTAAGGACAGTTGCTTGGGCTTCTATGGCCTCAGTTTCAAATTGATACATTTATTAATTCAGGCAAATACTGCAGACCAGTGACTTGGCTTGTCATTCCTATTAGTAGTTGTGTCAGTGGGTGTAACTTATTTCAATTATGTCTGATGGTAATTGGCATGTAAACATTGGCTTCTTGTGGCCTGTGTCATGCTGTGTGACTAATTGTGAAGGCTGCTAGTGGGTTGTGTGTTAGTGTTGTCTGTGATTTCAAAAAGTGTTGATTTTCATTTCATCATATTAGCATAATGGAAGTTTTTTTTATTATTGTAATGCCTTAAAAATGTACTTTTATAGCCATCCTCATTAGAACTTTGAGAACCACCCTATATATACCACCCTATACCTTGTTGAAGTTTTGCAGAACAACTTTCAAAATGTTTACGTCCCATAAACTCCCAACTGATTCACCCAATTTTCAGGAAAAAAATATGAAGTTAAGAAGCTCCTTCTTCATTCCGTGTGTGAACCACACTTTCTTTGGCTTGCATCTTCAAACATTTTGCCCTCTTAGTGTGCCAAGTGTGTGAGTAAATGAGCTTTCTATTTATTGCCACATATACAATAAAAAATATTTTAATGAATATAGAAGCTGGGTTCCACATTCTTTCCAACTGTGTGAGAATCATATTGTTTGATGTGTGCACTATGTTTCAATAAGAAACCTGTTCTTGTGAAGAATCGCCCACATATTTCATTGCTTATTTAGAATTACTCCCTGACCTTATGTACAGAATTATTATGGTTACAGAAAATTCCAACATAGTTTTCTAAGTGCAAAGAGTTGCTGGGCTAACAGGATTAGTATTTGGTACTAATCCTTCTATGTTTACTGTCTAGTCAAACATCTTCATGTGAAAGTAAGGCATCAACGTCTGTTCAGAAGCCTTAGGCCAATCAGGAATTGTAATGTTTGTAGGTTAATTGCATCAACTATTTTCTCCACTGATGTTTTTTAATTATTTTAATATTTTTGACAGTTGTTAGTAAGACTTAGTTTGGGTGAGAAGAAACCCATCTATGCATTGATCAAAGTCACATTAAACATTTTTTTGAAAGAGTCATTTATTGATTTGAAAGTTCCTGACTCATTATTGGACATTATACTTATGTTGGGGAGTACTGGTCAGCTCATATCACAGCCGCCCACCAAATGGAAGTGTTTGTCATCATATCTCTTATTAAATACCCTTTAATTACTCTTATTAGTCAATAATTGAATGGAAGAACTGGCCTGTATTCTGCCTCTTTAAGGCTCCTTCTTTAAGTGTGGTGCATTATTATTCACTTGTAGGAGTGATGCTTTCTTCAAAGTGATTTACATTGGTACCACTTTATATACAGCTGGACATTTTACTGGAGCGATCTGATTGCTCTTGTCAATGGGACAACAGCAGTGTCTCACTTGGGATTCGAACCCACTGCCTTCTCATTACTGTTTCACAGCCCTAACAGCTATAGGTCCCCTACTGCATATGTGTAAATGTGCCTGTTCATTGTGTTTAGATATTTCCCTGAGTCGCCATTTTTAAATGGAAAATAATCGCCTTTATCGGCTGCCAGACCAGCAGCTGTGTCTGAAGCTCATCTTTCCAGCTGGCTCCAGCACGTGCTCACACCATTGGGTTTTCTCTTCCATTGCAAATATAAAAGCTGGCATGAATGACAGCAGGTCTTTCAATCCCCAGGATCTGACTTTAATCCTTGTAACCCCAGTGATCTGCAGAGGCCATCTAGATGATTCTTAAAAAGTCCCCATGCACAGATTATACAGCAAGAGAAGACACTTCCTTCCAGAGACTGCTGTCTTTCTCCTTCTTTGTACTGGTTTGAATCTGCTTCCCAGTTCACATTTTTGCCTTGGAAGATCTAAATTTGAAGGAACGGTGTGAGACTATCCCTTTAGAAGATCCAGAAGACCTCAACCAAGGCTATAAGATCATGTTCTTAAATCCTTTCTGTGATTTTGTCAGCTGGACTTCACCTGCCTCTTTCTGTGTGACTTTCCATCTGACTTTCAGAGGTTTTCTCTTAGGAATAGAAGCGGCCTACTTTTTTTTCTTCAAAGGAATGCTAATTTTGTACGTTCGGTTTGTACTTTGATATATTAAATGGATTAAAACAGAAAAAAATGAGTCACTGAAATTAAAAAGTGAAGGCAATTGCCCTTGGAATACATAAGCAAAAAGTGTTTCTTTTGCTTTTTTGTTTTAGTTTTGAAGGTGGGAGTTGCCAGTTATTTTGAGCTATAAAGCCACCCTCTCTGGAATAGCCAGTAGCTTCAGGACTCTGCTCTAAAGCTGCGACCCTCACACCAGTTTGGGTGCGAATGAGACCATGTGGACGTGCCCCTACGACAGTCCCTGCTGCTGGGTCACTCATTCGCTGTTTGACACTCACAGGTGGCTCCCTCGGTGACATCACTGCCATCACTGAAGCCCCTCGACTAGCCCTGGATAAAACCTTGTGCCTGGGCACTCTTCTCATTTTAATGATGAGACTTGAGGAATCCCAGTTACATGACCCAGGCACGAACCAGCACGTCTTTGGATTTTTACATATTTGGAATCCCCACTTCTTCAGCTCATCATGAGGGCTTTTACCCTGGTCAGACATGGCGGTAATTGGTGTCATCCATGCTTTGTTCTGAAGCATGCATTGGCAGAACTGCCCCCCGTTTTTCCAGACTGGGACATCCACAGTGTCCCTCTCGCGCTGACGTGGAGAAAGGCTGTATCTGTCGCTGTCAGTGCTGCTGGGTCACAGGCACCATTCAGTTTATACAGGGCAGGTCTAGCTGACTGGTTTCCCAGCTGCCGTTCCTGCTGTGTCAATATAAACATAGAATTGACTCGAACTGGCAACTGTGAGATGAGTCAGCCCACTGAAGCAAGCGCTGTTACTGGTAGTCATGTGGGAGTCCCTGTTTAGTTCTGAATCTTTCCCATGACTTCTCTGTGGACCTGCAACTTTTTTTAAAAAAAGCACTACTGAAATACCACTGCAGTTGGATAAAAAGGCTACTGACTTTGACAGAAAAGCCAACATCAAAGAAACTGCAGTTCTCTCTCTATATATGACGCATCGGAAAGACCAGCATTTCCATTTCTGCAGGACAACAGAATAGAACTGACAGGCAGCTGCTGGGTTCCAGGTTTGTACATTAATTGTATCAAACCCACAGGAAATCCGAGTAAAGCTATGTAGTATAAAACTTCTTCTGTAAATAAAACAAAGAAATTTAGTTGATAGACCTACTGTGCAAGTTAGACCTATCCTAACAATAATCGTAACTCCAATGATCCAATCCAATAAACCTATCCTAACTAAGTACAGTCCTAACAACATAGTAGCAGAAAGGTCATCTATACCTATCATTTAATGATTGTATAATCTCTGTCCTAATAGAAAGTATGCAAACCGGTTCTGTCATGATTGTCTTTTGTCTGAACTAAAAAAAACATAAACTGTTCCTGCGGTGGAGAAAGGAAGAGCAGGTTCAAATGAACAGGACTGTGATCTGGTACTTGCTAACATCGTGACCGAAAAGCGTGTCTCCCTGCTGAGTGTCCAGGGCCAGGGAGACTGTACCAGGCGGACAGCAGCAGTACAATGACACCTGGTACAACAGAGAGGCGCCGCAGAGCCAGGACCGCACTCATATTAGTGAGGCTGCAGAAATACAGCTCGCAGCCCCCAGAACAATCCAGTACAGAGATGTGAGCCAGTTCCCACGCAGGGAGAAGAGGCGATGGGCTGACATTCTGCTATTCTGCTGAGGCGGGAGACAGTGCCAGAGCAGTTTCAGTGGCATTAATGAATAGTCAGGGACTGGGAATGGGGGTGTGTGGGTGGGGTTGCTAGCAGCACTCCCAGATAGGATTAGTTCTAGCCTGAGGAAGTTACAGTGCCAAATGTATTGTGTTTTTTTTCTGTGCAAAAATCTCCTGTTTGCTTTCACCTGCTGTCACAGATGATTCCTTTATCTGTATTCCACAAATGTTAAGAAATGTACCGGTCCTTCAGGTGACAATTTGTTTTACGTGGTATTTTAAATTCTTTATTGGGATTAGAAAAATAATGTAAAAAATACACTACTGATGAGTAAATGGCATATGCAAAATTCCACTTCAGTATCATCAGTATTGTATTGTTAGTACACACATAGGTGTCCTTTAGGACCTGTGTCCTTATGGATTCCTACAGAACTTACAGAAGCAGCTGGGGCTTTCTTAGACACCTCCTATCCCAGTACTGGGACAGTGAAAGTGTTGTCACTTCTAAGGTGAAAGGAGCTGGATCTTCCCTATGGAATTCCTGAATGATTACTCTGGGATGTTGTACTGGGTTTTTAAGGAGTTTTGGCCCCCCTATTGTATGGCCTTGATTCAGCAGGATCCATCAGGATATTTTTGTGTCCTCGTGTAACTGATTGTCTTTTCTTCTGGCCTTGGAGCAGCTGTGTGCTGTGGTCAGGTAGGCAGCGACCATTCTTTCCTGGCATGACTCCAGTCTTTCGCATTGCACAGGGCTTGACAGTGTCACATGACAATGCACCCCTTGAATTAGACGTTTTTCAGAGATTAAACTGTGACAAAAATGTTTTGATTCTTAATTCTGTTACTGCATAGTCACTTCATACTTTGAATTCACACAAAATATCTTGCAAATCTCTATGCAATTCTTTGGAGAAATGAGTCTAGGGGGTACATTTTTAAACGGCTGACAGTGGAGGACTTAAAACTGGTCAGAGTAGTTTTTATTGTGAAATGTAATGCTACATACTGATTGGTAAAAGCCACATTCTTCATATTTTTTGTAATCTGGGTGCAAATTCTCGAAGATTAATACAGTATCTGAAGACAAATCCAGATTAATTTATATCTGAAAGGGTCATTTGTTGTGTGACACCAGATGCTTGATCTTGGAGCTAGCAAGAACTCTCTCCGTTAATAAAGCTCAACTCCTACCGTGTTATTTCTTAGAGTCCATAAGATCTGATGGGAAGGAGTGAATAAAGCTTTAATGAAATGGACAAAGTCCAGCATCCATGCTTTAGGCTGGTTCTCATTCACTAGTGGATATTTCACATTCCTTCCTTCCATTCCAGTATTTCCATTGGTTCTATATACTGTTCAAAATTTGTTGAAATACTGTAAATGTAGTTGTACAACACAAATCCTTACTAAATATGACTCACAGACACATCACAGATACACATCCCAATACATTTCTGAAGAAAGTTCCAGAAGTTTCTAATGAAATGGAAAGAGGCATATATGAAATAAATGGACATCAGAAGTTAGGATATTAGAGGGTAGCTGTAAATCCTAAACACAGAAGACTCCTATCTCTTCCTTCAGCGTTCAGCTCCTTTTCTTAGCGAGACTCCTGTTTTACATCAGCAAGGGCTGATTCCTACTACTTTTGCCCACCCTGTTACCCTAAGGTTAAGGTTTGCATTATGACAATGTCATTGCAAGGATTTCAATAATCCTTGTGTTTAAAAGGAGTTGAGCTTTAAAACTAAAGGGCCTGACATTTATATTGCTGCATGAGAAAGGATAGTTTACAACTGTTATATTGGAACAGCGAGCTTGAAATGGTATGTGTGCTCAGTTTTCATCTGCCTTTTAAAGTAAAGTAACCTTTTTTTGTTTATAGTAAGCTGTTTGATTAACATCAGCCAAGAAAGTTGTGTCATGCTGGCTTGCAGTTTTGCATTGGCCAAGCTTGAGCTGTGTTCATACAACTTGCATGGGAATTTGAAGCACATACAGTTTCCAGCTGTATTTTGGTTTTAGAATTGCTGTACATGAAAATAATCAGAAGAATGACCGGTGCTTTGTTGTCTTTTGTACTATATTTAAAATATCTGCATAAAACCACGAATGACATCAAAATGTGTTTGTATGTACAGTCATTATCCAGAAGTAACTGCATGGTCATGCATCAAGAGAAAATCACTGCATTTTCCTCTATCTGTAGGCAGTAGTGTCCCTCTCATGTTGATGAAGCAGCATAGAATATTGCATAGGCTAGATCAAAAAATGGTCATTCTCATATTCATTGAAACAGAATCACTACTGTATATGTAAGACCCCTCTCACATGTTGAGACTTTAATTTGGGTCTGGGAGCATTCCCCTAACTCGTCCAGCAGCTCTGTCAGCTTGCTTCAATGAACCGCCTTGCAAGAATGATACACACACACAGTAGCAATTGCAGATTTGTTTACTCCTTGTTTCCGGAACACCTTGTTCCTGACAGTTTTTTCCGTGGATTGCTCGACCATCTCCTGTCTTGCTACATTTCCTTGCAGAATTTGGCAGTCAACAGCCGACACTCAGATGCAGATGTTGTGCAGTTGTCATTGAGATGATCGACATCTCAGGGGGACAGAACGTATTCGGGAATTTGTCCCTGTTTTTAGGTAGTGTGCGCTCAGCTGATCCAAGTCAAGTAGGGAGTATTGTATAGTCAAGGCTTTTCAGCTAAATTGCAGAGGTGAAAAAACATTCTTTCCTCACCGTACCATTACACATTTTGTCACTTGTGTGTTGGGAGAAAGAAAATCTAACAGCTTCAAATCGGTGTTAATGAAGCAGGCCGTGCCTGACTTAACATAATGTTTCAATGTGTTGACTTTCCCCATGGAAAAGATATTAGAACTGTGCTGACCCTTCTCACTGATCAGCATGCTAGTCTAACCTTCAGCAGCAGTTCCTGAAGAGTCTCAGCTGGACAGTATATTTATACAGATTTTACAAGATTAAATATTGCAGCAGGAAATTAGGGTATAAATCATGGATCTGTAGTAGTTTTCCAGAAGGATTTTCAGAGTTTTTATCTTGATATAAGTCTACTGGAAGTGAAATCAAAGATCTCTATTGTTTCACTTTTGTCTTACACATACAGATTTATGTAGATCCAGAAGCCACTTCATTCTGAAACCCACTTTAATTAGATGCCAAAAGTATTTCTACTGCTTTGGGAAAAACAGTGTGATCCGGAATAGTATGAATGGTGTGAAAGCATGAAACGTCTTATTCCAAGATTTTTCCTGTTCAAAGAATGCGTTTTCCTTGGGGAAAGACTGCTGGACATGATAACATCAAGCCAGCTGATGTTGCCACACCACACTTGGTTATAACAGTACAGGTGGCAGGTCTTGATTCCCCTGATGCAGCTTTTGATGGACGTGCATCGTGAATACTAGATAGAGGCTGATATTAGATACTAGACGGAGTCCCCAGGGACTCACTGGGGTGGCAAGGAAAGAAATCAAAACAACTGCTCAGGCCAGTCCCAGTAATGTGTCATATAGCAGAGATTGTGTTCCCCTGGCAGCCTGGACACCTGAGAGACTGATGGACCAGCAGTCTGGAGGGAGCTGGGAAGGCCGCCATGTCATCATGTGTTTCAAGCCAGCCTGCTGCTGAGAAGACGTCTGTGTGCAGGAATGAGACGAGCAGAAGGAGCAGGAAGGCCAAGCAGGAGCAGCAGCAGCAGCAGCAGAAGCAAGCCGACCTCATCTGCAGCATCTCTGTCCTGAGCCTCCGCACAGGCATGGACTCCCTGATCGTGGTGACGGAGTACGAGCCCAGCCCGGCGGATGGGGCAGGGGGGCCGCAGGCTGGGATGGAGTCGGAAGACACGGACAGCGGCTCCCACACGGCCGAACCCGCCGCTCCGCCCGGCGACAGACTCGCCGAAGTGGGAACCCCCAAGTCCCTGTCCCCCACCCCTCCCTGCTCCGACACCTGGGAGGCCAGCAGGGCCAGGCTCAACCTGTCCGACAGGAAGCTGTCCCTTCAGGAACGCTCCCAGACGGCCCCCTCTCCCGGAAGCTCGCCGGGACACAACGGACGTTACATCTACCCCTCGCTGCCCTACTCCCCGATCACCTCGCCGCACTCCTCTCCCCGCCTCCCCCGCAGGCCCACCGTGGAGTCTCACAGAGTCTCCATCACCGATCTCCAGGTAGGTCACCATCTCTGGTCCTTGTTGTCTGAAGCCCACAATGCGGTCGTCATGGTAACGGTGACTGTCCAGAACCGTACCTGCAGGACTAGGGAGCAGGTGTCTCAGTATTGAACTGTTAAACTGTGAGGGCTGACTTTGTTCTTCCGTGTTTTTGGACAGTGTTTAAACTATCCAAAGATTCTGTACTCCACACGGTAGCGTTTCTAACTGCTATTCAGGCCTTGTAGGTGTTGAAAATTGAAAATGGGAATGCATGTTTATTTTTTTGGGCCCACCTGCAACGTACTGTGCGTGCTCAGTTGGTAAACCGGGCTTGTCCCTGTAAGAGCAGAAGCAGTGATGGCTTTGAAAGAAAGACTTTTTGGAAAGGGAGTCTAATTTTAGCTCCAAAGCACCTGTTTTTATTTCTGAGCTGGTGGAGCAGCTCCAGCAAAACACCTTGGTGTCCTTCCTTGATCAAAAGCTCATTCCAGGCTCCAGCTGACACATTGTCATGCAAGGAATTGTTTTCCCTTCCTCAGCCTGGCTTAAACAGGTTCACGAACGAGGACTTGAGCACCTGGAGAGCTTTCTGTGTTTCACATCCAAGTGTATTAAACTCAGCAGGCTCCCCCTCTCACATTTCCTGTCTTTCTGAATCTGGTCACCAGGCATTCAGTGTGGAGTAATCCAATTGCAATGCCAATTAAAGGGTATGGTGGACAGCGTGGGGAACTACCATCTGCTGATTGCCGTGGGCTAATTTGGCCAAAATTGATTTTACCCTTAAAAGAACCACAGCTACCTAACAGCTTCCTGTAATTGGAAAAGAGAGCAAATCAGTTTCATGGTATCTTGCTTGGAAAGAATTCCCCAAACTATAGTTTCCATAGCAACCCTATAGCTGCCGAGCAGCAAAGATTGTCTGCAACTAGTCCTGTAGTTATTCATATACAGAATATGACTGGAAGCTGATTTACAGGAATGAGACAGTTTCAGGAAAGTAATTGAAGTTGATGAGTAGTCTAATTGAATTAGGTTGTGTGGTGTCTTCATCCCTCAGAAATTAATTTAGGACGCAGTTTAATAAAATGTCAATTGATGAGTTTACTATCAATTAAAGTTCTCGATGCAGTTTAATACTTTTGTTTTCAGTTCAAGTATTTACTTGCATTGAGTGCAGGGTATTGATTCTGGGCCCAGTTAGTGCCCACCACACAATGCCAGAATGTCACCTTATAGAACTGTATAGAAACTGTATAGAAAATTGCAGCTTTTGAAAACTGCAACAATTGAAACTTATGGTTCTCGTAAGACAAAATGACACTAGGAGGTCTGGGATCCATGGCTGAGACTCGAGATAACACTCCTTTTTACGAGTTAAAGACACCACAGGTGTGGCCCAGTCATACCCAAAACTGCATATCGAGTGAGAGTAACAGCTCTGTACAGTACAATCATTCTACCACACTGGTTTCACTCACAAATACACATTTAGGTAAACTTAATACAAAGGGTAATACAAAAGTTTAAAAATGGAGCGTTAACTTCTCTATCATTATTCTAGGGTAGCATCAGTGAAAATCATGCCAATCCTGAATCTGCCAGTATAGGCATTATAGGCATACTGTTTGAGCACCTGCAAAAGTGCTGTATTTATTCTTTACAACATTTGTTAGAAACATTGATTGAGAAAAGGACAAGATCCAGATTTCTGTGCTATGAAGCATTAAATATTTTCTATTTAAAGAGAAAATTGTCTTTTATTTTCTATCAATAATGACCCGTTCACAGTGAGTTTCCTCTGACTGACTGAGAGTGTTTGAAAGGTAAGGCCAGAGGTCTGTTGCCTTCAGCTAGACCTGGTGGTAGCTGTATGTTGACTAGATCAAGTGGTGAAGTGGAGTGGTATGGTAGGTCTGTAGTGAGCTGTTTTAGTACTAGGCTCTGTAATTCATTGAAGTTGACTCTCTGATATCACAGATGACTCTTCTGGTGAGCTTATGGCTTATTATCCATTTGGCAGCTGTATTTATTTTTCTCACAATCTCCTTCTGATATTGTCCGTCATGTCAGACTCCCATGTTTACTCAGGATTTTAAATCTTAATAAGCAGGACCTGCCCTGAGTAGAACAGTACATATTTTTGTGACACTAATGGTAAATATTAACATAGTAATAGGTTAATATTATGTAAAAACATTGTGTTTTTTTGTGGTCTGCTTAAGCATTTAGCTAATAAAACTTTTAATAAAAACAATATAAAACATAACCAATAATAATAATATTCTGTTATTATTTGTTTCTGCTTTTCCACTGAATGTGTTTTTATTGGTCTCTCCAGAAGAGGAAACTTCTTGAAGAAAATGTACTACATCAGGTTTTTGATTCAGGTCTTTTGATGCTTGAGTGTGTGAATTAAAACGCCATTTTCTTGATCAGACGCAAATATAAACACGTTTCCAAACTCTTACAGATTTATGGCATGGTGGGACCAGGTGTGAAAATCCTGTGGTGCCCTGTGCTATTAGCAGACCAGAGAAGAGAAAAGCGATTTGCTTCTTGGAAGACCTGTATTTTACAGTATTGTACATTTGTACTGCTTCTGCTTCCTCACTCTCCTTGTAAAAACATCCATAGACTGTAACTGTGGTCTTTTATACTTTTCTTTTAACAGGATTGTGTACAGCTCAACCAGTACAAGCTGAAGGATGAAATTGGAAAGGTATTGTCGAAAATGCTCATTCAATGAGAATCTGCTCAGAGTAGGTAATATTATTCTGATACCTCAGGAGCAGGTTGTATATGTGTGCTATCCATCCATTATTTAACTGATAATTTAACCTTTATCCAATAAAGGGTTACAGGAGAGCCTTATCCCAGCAGGATACACCCTGGATAGGATGCCAGTCCTCACACCAAGATGCACTCACACCAGGATCTTTAACATAACATCACTTTATTAGCCCTATACAATTTCTTGCATTAGGAATTCGTCTTTTCGCAGACCCCAGCTTGCTCTCCATGAGACACAGACACACAGACAGGGTGAGAGAAGCTGGGGGTCAGAGCACAGGGTCAGCCATTGTACAGCGCCCCTGGAGCAGTTGGGGTTAAGGGCCTTGCTCAGGGGCCCAACGGAGTAGGATTCCTCTGCCGGCTGCGGGATTTGAACCGGCAACCTTCCAGCCACAGGCGCAGATCCTGAGCCAGAGAGCCACCGTTCCGCCCCTCTGCCTTTAGACAGTGGGAGGAAAGCCAAATGAACACATGGAGAACATACACACACATACCACCCCAGGAAGTGAACCCAGGGCCCTTAGAATCCAAGGCAGCAATGCTAACCACTGCAAAACCGTGCTGCCTGTGTAGATACACTTCGCAGTTTTTTTTTTTGAAGTCTTGCCTTCAAAGTTTTCAATTCAATTTACTTTTGGCTTCTGTCAAAACTGCTGTGTTTTTCCATTAGAGCAAGTCAATAGGATCCTCTTCATACTGCTAAATAGACATGTCACATCTGCATAGTCTACTGTCTGTAGAATTGATTATGAGCAGAATATACTGTAGCTTACCTGCTGTCCAAGGATTCTGGCCTCTCAGCTGGGCCTTGTTTATAGAAGACAAATTATTTTTTGTAGGAGAACAGTAAAAGTAGGATTTCAACTAACAGTATATTGGCACAGTGGGGACCTTGAAGAGTGTACCTTGAACATCATACTTACAAGGAAGTTTAACACTGGAATGTAAAAAAACAAGCATTTTCTGTTGCATCTCCTTGTGGCCTGAATCCCTTCCTCACCATAAAACAACTGTAGAGGCAGAGCTCAACTCCCTTGAATCCTCTTTCCTGTACTGGTCTTCTGGTTCAAGCAGTAGGATTTTTTCCCATTTCTTCCTTGCTTCCCTCTTCCTCCATTTTCACCAACTGTAGATTTTTTGCCTTCTGCAAGAAATGCTCAGTGTACTACATGTCAAAGCCCACTAAACATTTGCTGTGAAACAAACAAGCTTCTGTGTGCGTACACTCACATATACTTATGTAATTCACAAGTGTGTGTATATTTCTCAAGCTTACATTGTAATGAGTAGGTAGGTCAGGTCCCCTTTTCAGGCCGTGAAGGCCCAGGGGGAATGGGGGGCAAGGGCCACCATTTTTCTCAACCATGCAACACTGGAGGTGGAGGTGATGTGGTCAGCATCACGCTCCGGCCAGCCTATTACCCCCAGAAGGATTAACCCCCGGTGCTCATTCAGAAAGCAGGCTGAGTGCACCTGGGTGCTGTCTGGAAGGAATTAGAGCAAGCTACATCGTTTGCACCTCCCTGGGATTGAACCCGGGACCTTCCAGTCAGGAGCTAGACGCCCTTGTCGTCTGACCTACCACAGCTCCGGGTTGTAATGAGTGCCACAATGCTACAGCGGGGGGCCGCAGAGTGCTGCAGTAGTTTTTCTGGGTAATTTTCCTGGCGTACTGCAGCAAACCCCTGCAGGGCTAATGAGCCTTTAAGAGTATAGTAAGCAGGCACCCTCCCTCCTGCCCCCGTCATGGGGAATAAGGGTGCCTGTGCTGGAGGCAGAAGACTAAAAGTGGCTCAACTGGCTTGGACTCGTTTTCATGATGGCGGTCATATGATTGTTCCTGATGCCAGAAGCCCAGGCCTGAGCCTCTGTGACACTTTCTTCTTGACGTTTTCTGCAGGAACCTGCTTGCAATGACTCACTGTGCTGCGGCTACTTTTGTTACCACACCCATTCTCTTCCCCTTTCCCCTTTCCCCAGACCAGCTCCCTGTTTGGGGAGAAAAAAAGGTGGATTTGCTCCACTGAGTCACCCACTGCTAAGGCATCTTAAAGAACCATAAAGGATGTAGGAAACCGCAGCTGGTCACAACTTGACTGTATGTCTGAAGCATCACAGTGATGGCTTAGAACACTGTACTGCTCCACAGCTACATGGCTGGTTGGCTCTGTTTTACAGAACTGGTTGTGGCAGGCTGCTGTAACGGATTTTTGCACTGACACCAATCTCTTGTTTTGACGAGGGCTCCTATGGAGTTGTCAAGCTGGCGTACAATGAGGATGACAACACCTACTATGTATGTATCACACTGTATATGTTCATTATCTTGAATGCAGAATGCTCAGTTAAATGCAGTAACACACAGGAAGAAAGATTAAAAACATTTCAATGCTGTTCTGTTTCAAGAGATCTCTCTTTAATCCACTCCTGCCTTTTTCATTTTTAAATTATTTTTGAGGGGGCTCCTTAACTTGTTGTAAAATACTTCCCTTATGGGGAGTTTATATTTAAAAGGAGCGCACCAGAATTCATCAGGAATTACTGTAAATAAAACATGTTATGTACAGATGGGTTAGTACAGTAATTAGTAATCTGTAATGGATTCGTTTTTTAATATGTATTTACAAATGTATAAGTACGAGATCAGTTTTCATTTTAATCTAAGTCTTATACAATATTAATTGTCAGATTATACAATATATACAGATTATACAATGTTAAATGCCATGAATATGGTATTATAGATGTGATTTGAGCCTATTATATATTGATAGCAATTATAGACTTGAAAAATGATAGGTACCTTTGTCACTCTTTTGCCTATCAGAGAAATACAGTATCTCTAACTGCAATGGAAGCACAAGTCTGCTCTGTGTGGGAGACATGCTATGAAAACTGCAACTGTGGAAAAGCAGAACACAGTGGTTGTATTCCTAGGAATATAGCCTCAGCATAAGCAGCATAATTTATATCTGTCAACTGTCATGTCAATAACTAAAAGAAGCATTTTTTCAGCAAAAGTATGTTGCATGCTAGATATTCCTTTGGTCAGAATCTCTTGTGATATGGAGATTTTTGGATTGTTATATATATAGTATTATATAATTCTAGAATTTCTCTGTTTCTCTATTTGCAAGGCAATGAAAGTGCTGTCTAAGAAGAAGCTGGTGAGACAGGCTGGATTTCCGCGTAAGTGTCCAGTTTACACCAGATGGACTCTTAGCAGGGAGTCTCAGCCCTTCATCCGAAGGCAGCAAAGAAAAACGAAACGCTCAATGAAAGCAATTTCCTCTCTCGGCCCTGTTCCATTGTGCGCGCTCAGTTGTTAAAATCATGATGCTGCTTCTGTTACAGAGCCTTTTGTGCAGTGAAGCATGAGCATGACATGGATAGGAGATTATAAGGCCATTTTCCTTCAGACTGTGTTACTTACATAACTTTCCAGTTCGGATTCTTGAAGTACCTATTCAAGTATTACCAGTCACAGCTCAACCGTGTGATCTCTGTGCGTAAAACAAATTTCCTTTTCATGTTGCAGTGAGTGATCCCTGCTGCCTACCTGTGGCAAAAACACAAAGACGCAAACTAGAAACCCACAAAGAGATAACGCATATCTGCTTCTGGTGTGTGTGTGTGTGTGGGGGGGGGTGTTCCTGATGTGGCTCCAGTTCTTCTGGAGATGTGATCTTTGTTATTTTGATGTCTCAGAATGATTGCTGCTACCAACTCCTTTTCTAAAGCTCTCATTTACATGTAAGTTACCATGCCAACTCCTCAACTCGCCCCCTCCACCCGCAGGGCGGCCCCCCCCCCGGGGGGCGAAAGTGCCACCGGAGGGCCCCTCTCAGCCCAAAGGCCCCCTGGAGCGAGTCTACCAGGAGATCGCCATCCTGAAGAAGCTGGACCACCCCAACGTGGTCAAGCTGGTGGAGGTGAGACCCTCCAGGGACAGGGGCCGCCGCGGTGTGCTGTGTAAGCGCTGTGCGTGGTCAAGCTCGCGTCTCTTCACGGTCATCCTGCCCACACACAAGTCCGAAAATACTGCCGTGGTCTTGTTTGTGCGTCTCGTGTGCTTTGGCGTCCATCTTACGATACAGTGGTGTGAGTTTAGGGAGTGTTGGCTTACCAAGTGTCTAATACCTTCTCTGGAATGGCAGAACACCACATTGGTTTTACCTTGAAGCCAAAATAACATCAGGTGGGAAGTATAGAAGTACACAGTCAATCAACTACGTCTTCTAATTCATACCTAAACTAGTATGAAAGTGTGTGTCCAAAGCTCCTGTGCATTGTGAGTGCAGTTGTTTTCTCTGTGAGAAACAGTGACCCTGAGTTTAACTGTACTTTTGTATATTGTTAACAGAATTGCATTTCGGGGATATTTGTTTAGTTTCTCTCCCAGCCTTTTAAATGACAGTGTGATCCGTGAATGAAGAGAGGTAAACAATGAACATTGATTTTTGCTTTGGTGAGTGTGTTGAAAGAGCATGCCTTTTCCTCATGACTCTGTGGATATCTCACTGTTCCCCACTCCTCCTGTCTGTCCGATCCAGGTGTTGGATGACCCCAGTGAGGACCACCTGTACATGGGTAGGTTTCCCAGCATGCCTTGCTTGTGCCTAAGGTGGTGAAACAAAGATGTCACACTTATGCTGTTCTTCAGTCTTCTTCCTTGTTCATCCATGCTTCCACGAATACAGGAAGAACCAAATACATGAGAGCATTGCTAGTTTCTTTCATCAAAGAAGCACACGTCTGGCAGTGTCATATAATTAGAAATGACCCATGTGTTATTGCCTTTGAACGCTTTTCTTTCACAATGTTCCAAAGACTTCAAGAAACATACATTACTGTAGATGACATCATATTAAGACAATATCCTTTACAAATCTTGATATTAATTGCATTAACACTTTATTTCTGATTACTTGAATATACCCTCTGTTTAGGCAGAAACAGTTCCTTTATTCTGTATTTCTTGAAATTATTTTAACAAATAGACATACATAGACAAATATATATTTTCCTGCTGAGAAATGGATGGTAACATTGTTAGATAGTTAACAAATTAACAAATTAAATTAAGGTTGACCCTAATTGATATTTTTCCTTCTTTTTAAACAGTTTTTGAACTAGTTAAACAAGGGTGAGTAAAGCACTATGATTTAAAATAATTCATAAAGCAGATGATGTAGAATGTTTCCTGACAGATGCCTTAGTGGTAAAAGATCTGCATTTTGTTCAGATAAATGCATTAATGAGAGTCTCAGGGGGCCTGCATACAAACCCACTGTATAAGTCTGTGTTCCAGGTGTTACTGCAGTTGCCTATTCTGATAGTTAGGTTTCAGTGGATCAGTAGACTTTGCATGATTTGGAGCAATATAACAATCCCATTACACAAGGATATTTAACTATATGCATGGCCTGTTTATTTTCAGTGAGTTTTCCTCTGTTGATATTGAGTAGTATTACACATGCAGTGTTAATTTTTATTTGTGTGTTAAAAGTATACCAGTCATTAGCTATGCAGAGAAACAATGTGACCACAAAAGCTGTCACAAATGAGAGGGAACCATCCAGACGTCTACCTGTTGCAGATCCGAAATCTTCCAGCCATTTCTTTAAACAAAAGCAAGGGGATCGGCTGAGTAACTTGTTCCATACTCCCAGCACTCTTTGTGTAAAGAAATACTGTACTGTACTGTCCTTTCAGTTTTAAGTGCACTTGTCCTTTGTTTCCATATGTGTTCTCTTGTGCATGTTCCACTGTTGAATTTGAAGATATACTGTTCGGAGACCTTATATCTATGATTTACCTTTGATTACCTATGATATGATGCTTTTTATCAGTGCTGTGATGGAAGTCCCAACAGATAAGCCTCTAACTGAAGACCAGGCCCGCTTCTATTTTCAGGATCTGCTGCGAGGAATTGAGTTCTGTAAGTAGAGAGCAAACAGGGCAATTTTCCTGTCCTGTGTTGCACTATGCAATTTCATGAGACAGTAATGTTCCATTGTCATTCCAAGAGCACACTACCCCCCTGTACAGTGCAGAAAATTGTACTTTACTGGTTTACTGAAGGTTCTCATGAGGAATATTGTTGTGTTAATCCAGTATCTTCTGAAATTTACCAACCCATTGATCCCAAACAATCCATTTTATCATTTTATTAATGAAGTATTCTCCTAATTTATTCTTTATGCACCTTATGTCTAAAAAGTTTTTTTTTTTATTTGTACCAGTACTGATAATAATTATACTCACTTTCCTGTCAGAGTTTTAAACAAAGTGGGAAAAGCCTGGTTTGTGCGATTTGTGTACTTTTTCAGTGCACTACCAGAAGATAATTCACCGGGACATCAAGCCGTCCAATCTGCTGGTCGGAGAGGACGGGCACATCAAGATCGCTGACTTCGGTGTCAGTAACCAGTTTGAGGGCACTGACGCCCTGCTGACCAGCACAGTGGGCACCCCCGCCTTCCTCGCTCCCGAGACCCTGTCCGAGACCCGGAAGAACTTCTCTGGCAAGGTGGCTGGCTCCCCTTCAGGCTGTCCCACCTCCCCAGATCGCTGAACGTTGACTTCCCTAAGGCCATGAGCTACATGAATCCTAATGATAATTGCTCGCCTGGAGCAGAGAGCTAGAAGACTGTAATTTTGCAGTGTCCACATGCGTTTCTTTAATACTCTTTAACGGGACGAGCAGAGGGAATTCCGGCGTGCAGGAGCTCTGCGAGTGCTCACTGCAGACTCAATAAAACAGGTGTCTTCGAAAAAGTAAAGGACATCTCCGTCCATTATCAGAGACCCTTTGTAACAGCTGTGAAACTCAGAAACCTTCAGACAGCACCCAAGGATTTGAACCTAGGGCCACAGCCCTGCAAGGCATCAATAATAACCACTGCTCCACCGTGCTGCCTGACAAGCTGGGTTTTTTTGGGAGAAAACAGATTTGCCAAATGACATATGTCACCTTGAAAGAGAGCCTCCCCATCTAAAATATCGCTCAAGATAAGAGAACAGGTCGCATTCGTGCACTTAATCCAATGTTGGTCTCCGATGTTGGTTCTGTAGGAAATGCTAATTAAATAATATCAAATTCAGCTAACTTATATGTTGGATGTCGTGCTTTCTGTGACTCCCATTATGTTTTACAACAGATGTTTTTTTCTTTCAAGGCCCTAGATGTGTGGGCGATGGGTGTGACTCTATACTGCTTTGTGTTTGGACAGGTAAGGTGAGATGAAAAGCAGTGACATGCATTTAGAGATCACATAATGCCTTAATTTTCATTGTCTTTTACTGTTATGTTTTTACAGTGTTTTTTGTTAGTACTTTTTCAGTAATGAAATAAGAGCCAAATGCTTCAACATCACTTCTCAACGGTAGTATGTTATTTATAGGCTTTTGTTGAATGTCCTGGCTAGTCCCATCATAGGTATAGCATGCAGAATTATTTGATGGGCTGAGTTCCAGTGTCTCTGGACTGCATTTAGTTTGTGGTTTATGAGCTTGCCTGTCTGAGTGACTCTTAGTATGATTTCTGTATTTGCCTCTGGGCAGCACCTTCTCTGGTCTGTGTTACTCTTGTCACATGCCGGCACCTTGTCTTGCAGTGTCCATTTATGGATGATCGCATTCTGAGCCTCCATCAGAAAATTAAAAACCAGCCGGTGGAGCTGGCCGAGCAGTGAGTACCCCTGGGATATGTGTGGTACACATCTTCTGAGAACTTAGTACACAGTTTATTCATTTAAATGTCCTTCTGAATTGATAGCGTGTGACAGTTTTCTTCTCCTCCAGTGCTATGGGACCACAGATAGGCTGTTTTAATAAGTCTTTTTACCTTTTTGCCAGGTTTAGACTGGATAAAAGAGGTTAAATTGATTAATTTACATGTCAAATCAGTTTATGGAGAAAAATAAAAAGGCCTACACCCTTCAGGAACCATAGTTCAGAAAAAAATGGCTCCGTACTTCAAAGAAATTTGTGTATGAGATATCTTTATGGAGTTGATTCAGATTCAGTTTAAAATTAGCAATGTGTGCCTTGCAAGGTAATCTCAGTGCAAACACGGAACAGCAAAATGTGACAGGGCTGTCTTCACATTTATAGTGTAGATGTATCCAGAGACTTGAAGGATCTGCTGTTCAAGATGTTGGATAAGAATCCTGAAACAAGAATTACTGTGCCACAGATAAAGGTACAACTTACTTCAATGTTTCTCTTTTGGTTTTGGTACTGGACATTGTACTACAGGTCTTAACTGTAATCTCTTTTCTGTCATTTTTTTCAAAGTTCTGTTACGTAAAGAAAAATACACACTGTAGTTACTTTGAGCATTTGGAGACAAATTAGCTGATCCCAGAATTGTGTATATCTGTGATGTGGTTTCCCAGAATCAGTCTCTTTGATGTTTGATGTTTATTACTCAAGACAAATATTATAGCTTTATACAGCTATTGTTACAAACATAATAAGGCCACACACATTAGCTCTGCAGTCGCTATGTAGCTTTAAGAAATTTATCATGAAGGCTAACATCAAAAAAGTAAGTTATGGAGAGCTGCATTTGCCCACATATGCAAAACATCCTGGCTGATTACAGATCAGATACAGTCATACAGATGTGATATTCCTCATGAATATCCTCTAAAAGGATTTTGGCCTCAGAGCTCTTGTCAAGTTTGTTTTAAATGTCATCTAGCCCCACTTGGTTTAGACTGATCATGAATACCATTGGCATGAAGAGCATAAGCAGGAGAGATTGCAGGTGCCATTACTAGGAGCAGCAGATGGGAGGCACGGCCTGTTTAATCCTCTGTTATAGGTCTTCAGAGGCACAAGGCTGAGCAGAAGCAGACGATAGTGGCATAGAATGTCTCTTCCAGAGGGTATAGTGATGTCTCTGCTTCTGTGCTTCTGTGCTAAACCAACACAGGTGCACTCCTGGGTGACAAGGCATGGCGCCGAGCCTTTGCCCTCAGAGGATGAGAACTGCACCCTCATTGAGGTCACCGAGGAGGAGGTGGAGAACTCTGTGAAGCACATTCCCAGCCTAGCCACAGTGGTGAGTATGTGGAGTGCCGACAACCTCATGTTGATTCATAGGAATGAGCCGTCATTGTATACAGCTGCAAACTGCAATTTCAGTTACACATCCTTGTTCACATGCTCCTCTGACACCGCTCCTGATCACTTACTTGTGGGGGTTAATAGTGTCAGTAGCGGTGAAAGACGTTACAGGGCTGGTTTGAATACTTTCACTTGGTGACAGTGTGCCTTTAGTATGACATCAGCGTCAGGGCTCTGCATTGGATTTTGTGGTGGTTAGAAATGTGATCAAATATCTGTCAGCCAGCTCCACATCAAATCCAGGAGCAAATGTTGCCGTTTCTCCCTGAGTTGCCGTTTTGTCAGGGATGACAAGGCTATTTGCCATATTCATGGACACTACTCTGGAAAAGTAGGAGCCAGCAGCATTGCAAAATCTGAAAATGCCCGTAGCAGCTCTTACCAATCATGTGTGCCGTCTGTCAGCTTTGTCTATTTTTCACATTATAAAGAGAAGATGTCAGTTTAGTGATCTAGTAAACGTGCTGCGTGTGAGAATATATTCACGATTGCCAGTGCTTTCGCACCTTTTGTTCCTCATGTTTACATCACGCCGTTTGTTAGCACATCTTCCACTCCCAGGTTGCGCCGCGTCTCTTTGTGAGCAGAAAAGAACCGACGCAGAGCCGGGGAGTGGTGGGTAACACTGACGGCGAGGGCTGTTCTTGCTCTCCCTCCTGTAGATCCTGGTGAAAACCATGCTGCGGAAGCGTTCCTTTGGGAATCCCTTTGACTGGGGCAGACGGGAGGAGCGTGGCCTCTCCGCGCCTGGAAATGGACTGACGTGAGTTTGAAGACAGCCGTGGCTTCAGCTTGGCTTCAGCTGGTGTCCTTCCCCTTTCCCAGGGAGTAGATCAGGATTCAGGCTGTTTGAAGCAGCTGTGATCCAAGATCAGAGCAATTCAGATGGAGCTGCCCCACCTCTTGTCCGTGAAATGTCCTGGGCAGACTGTGACTTTCTTGGAGCAGGCTATGTCTTCTTAGGGAGTTGCAGTGGCTCAGCCTACAACACTGTATAAATGTGCTTAATTGGAGTGCTAGTTGAGCCCTACAGCTGGACATTGCAGGTTTAGCCAGCCGTGGCTGGGATTTCCCTCCTGTTGGCACACAGCAGGCTGAGTGCTGCTGGGAACAGGTGGCCAGGGCATTGGTCAGGGTAGCCCTGGCAACGCCTGGGACTGACTGACCAGACAGTAAGGACAGTCAGATTGTCAATGAGGGCAGCATCAGGGATGACTTTCATGCAGGGCTGTGAGAATCTGAAAGCAGATGCTGGTACAAGAATCAAAGTGCAGGGAAGTATTGCAGTTTAGTTCTTCCAGACTCCGTATCTTTTAAAAACACACTATGCCTTTAGTCTCAAGAGAACCACCCTCTGCCCAGGTTTTGTTTCCTTTTCAGAGAAACAAAAAAAAATGCCAACTTGCGACACTAAGTCAAATTAGGCCTTAAGCTGTGGGAGAATTTTAAAGGCAGTGAAGATTTTATTTTTGCTTTTATTATATTAAATACAAATCTTACACTTACATGCAAATTTGAAAGGGAAGCCATCTGCGAATGTTCCTGTGTTGCCCAATAGCTGTTCTGCATTAAGCCCAACTGGTACCCCCTCTTCAGTGGACAAGTTCAAATATGATACTGGATAAGGTGATGACTGCATCAGTAAGAGTATAGGTACCGTACCGTACTGTATATATAGTGTACATGAACCTGTACCTGTACAAGCAGCAGGTCCTGAAAGTCAAATTGGAAAGCTGGGTTCTAGACATCCTTCACCTTTCTCTCTAACTAAGGTCATCAGAGGATCTATGCCAGTTCTGTACGTCTATCTCATTTTTTTCCCCTCTCCCCTTCCCACCTCTCCAGAAAAAACAAGTCTGGAAATGTGAAAAACTGCAGCATGCATAGTAACCAAAGGTAAAGCATTACTTTACTGCAAATGTCTGCCTGTTTAAAAAAAAATCCAAGCAGATCTGGCTTTGAACTGTAAAGTGTGATCCAACGTGCAGAAGGCGCACAGAAAAAAGGGTTTTCGTCATTAGTTTACGTCAGGAAGACAGCGCTGGTTCTATTCCTGGGAGCGTGTCGCACACTGCATACCAGGGTGAGAATTAATGTATTTGGAACAAGCTTTCCAAGTTCCATTGATTGAAGCAGTCAGTGTGGAGATGCACAAGATTCTAATACACAACCTGTTTTTATTTTTAAGTAGATCTCCCTTTCACCAAGAACAAAGTGAAATGATTGTTTAGCACAGAGGGCAATCTGTTCTCTCATTCCACAGTATCACTTTTTTGAGGGAGCAGTTGATTAACAGTTATGTTTAATTTAATTCGGGTTTTAGCTACTTCTGCTTGACCTGTTTAAATACAGAAATTCTATTTTTTTGTTTTTTAAGTGAATTTAATACTAAATGGCCAGTTAGTATTGTGTCACAGTATTTCCACATTAGATGGTACTATTAATTTTTTACATTTACAGCTTAAACCATGCAGTATATGTCAAGAAATAATTGAAATTTTATCAATTAAAGATTATAGAAAACATCTTAAAGGTTTTACATTTTTCATAGTTTTAGATTGTATTTGTCTGTATATTCCCTGTTCCTTAGCATATTTAGACATGTTCATGAAGCAGAATACCAAAACTTGAATTCATTGTCTTTTTAAATTTATAGTTTAGATTCTGGATCTGATCCCTTTCATAATGCAGTACAGTACAGACCGTCATTTTGGGAACACACAGCTAAAGCATAAGACTTCAGCAGAACGACAGCATGTGATTTTGTAATTGAAGGTGCTTTAATGTTAAAATGTTGCAAAATTAGCTGTGAATTAATTTAATAAATGTTTTGAAGGTTCCTTCTGTTACTTTTGGGTCACACTTCCACTAAAATGAGTGTCTCTTCAGAGGATGTTGAAGCAAACTAACAAATCAAATGTGCATGAGTCTTGATTTTGATGTGCATGAACTAATTTAATGACACAGTGGTATTTTGATACGGCTGACTGAACTCTAATTAGCATGAGAAGAATAATGCTGCAGTGTCCTGCTTTTTAAAAGAGCTCTTGCTTATTCTGGAGTGTGCAGCTGTGAATTGTTTTTCCCCATAGGGTATACAAGTGGAGAATTATTCTACCTCCTTCATGTCTGTAACCTGAATGCATGACAGACTGGCTTGCAGAATTCTAATAAGCAATTTTGCAAAATTATTCTGTTTTAATATATAAAACCTGGTGATCACTGAACATCGTTTAACATCATAATCATAATCATAATAATGCTTCTTTCACAATGCCCTGTGGTGCAACTGCTCCAGTCTGCTCTTTCCTTCAATTAAACCGTACTCATGGGAAAGGTTTTGTAAAACAAATCCCTTACCTTTGGTCTTAAAATGAAACTGCAGACTCCTTCTCCTGTCCCATGGGCAAATGTTTGTTTAAAATATGAACTATAGTAAATTATACTTCATTTTTATTCAACTGTTCAGTCCAATATCCTTTAGGAGGTGATAAAATCACACATCTAAGTCTCACAGGCTGTCCTTTAGATTCAGGTTACTTTCTACCGACCTTTCTGAGCACAAAAGTCAGAAACTCTGCTCTGTGTTTGATCTGCTTCCGCGTTTCATAAATCACTGTCTCTGCTCCCGAAAATCACAAAACTGTGAAAAGGACTTTATCGGGCAATTTTTGTCGGAAGTCCCCGGGATGGGAGAGGCAGTGACAGACGAAACTTTTCTTCTTCTGTCGCCTAGGAAACAGGAGAGCGGCGACAGTGGCAAGAGCTCGGACCTGCCCTATGTTGGGGAAGACGAGGCCCTGTTGTGACTCTCACAGCCCCGACCTGCCCAGAGTGGTTATCTGTGCAGTGTGCCCTTGTGATATGCATGCCTTTAAACACAAGGTATTTCTGCTGGCTCCTGCAGTGTGGCATCCAAATGCGCCGTTTTTTCAGCGGCCCCAGGACAGGAGCCTGCGTTGCAGTTTGGTCCGCAGTGGGATTCTCGTTTAAAAGATTGCTGTTTTTTTGTTTCCATGCTGAAAGGAAAAAACACGCCTGGCCCAAATCTCTCGTTGCCACTGGTTTTGTAATATATTTGAAAATAAAATGTTAAGGGGTTTGCTTGCAGTGTACAGTAGCATATCACAAAAGGAAATTATGCATTTTATATGTCAGGTAATGTTGTTCAAGCAGTACTGTTAGTGCTATAGCAACCAGTAAGAAGGTTTTTCATATTGAGTATACAATGCTTTAAATATCGTTTGAAAATCTATAACAGTTTTTGCATAATGTGAATTGCTTGCTTATATAGAGCATTATATTATCTGAGCTCATAAGCTTACAAGCCTGCTGCTATTTGAAAGACTGAAGCCAAGTATGTTGAATAGTTTTAAGTGCTGTTTTGAAGTTAAAGTACAGTATTGAATATTGGACAAATGGAAAATATTGTGCAGGCGGCAGGCATAGGATATATCTGAATAGAACTCACTAATATATAGCTCAATATTATGTCATGATATTCAAAAAACTAATTGAATTCTAGTATTCTGTGACCTGTATATCATAGTCAATGAAAATTCATACATGGCAGATTGCTGTTTTGCATGAATACACAGTTTAGTTTCACATAGCTATGTGGTACTGTAGTGGGATTTTGGCAATTGATGCAATTGCAAATTACTGCATATAAACAAGATATATCTGTGAAGAATTATCTCCAGAGAAGATCTGGCTGAATGTCTCTTGTGTTATGCACAAATTGGCAGTAATGGATGCCTCCTGGCTTTGATGCTATTTTTGTATGGTAATTTTTTCTATTGCTCTATATAGGCAGAAAGTAGGCTAGTTGCAGATATGACAGATGAACTAGCAAGCTCTGCTTAATTTCCTGTATGTGAACTACAGAAGAGGTTTGAAGTAATGCTTCCACATGCTGTCTGGTTGTAGGAAACCCGTTCCCTTAACACGGGAACAGTGGAGTTTGTCCTTGAATGAAATGGATGGAAAAAACAGGATTCATTGTAATACAAATGGCAGAGCAGATAAGTGTTGTCTGAAAGTAAAACCAGTCAATGAAGTACTGTACCTTATAATTCACATGATGCTGTCTTTAGTATATGGTGTGCAGTGGCAGACACTTTCAGTTTGCCAAGGGAACTGACACACACAACCTCATTTCACTATCAGGCGTTAACCAATGAACTTCCTTATCAAAGTGTTGTGTATTATAGCGATGTGTGTTGTGAATTTAAAAAAAACTAAAGTGCTTGACCGGGATCAAGCAGAAGCATGTTTTTGTATGACTGTGCAGACCCGACAGCTCAAGATGTCTGCTACCTTCTTGTGCTTCGCAGTGCGGAGCAGCTGCTCCCAGGAAGCCCTTCCCTGCTCTGTGGGTGCATGGCTCTGTTTCAGGGGGAAATGGGTCAATAGTGGCTGGTGGCAGCGTTACTTGTATTTCTCTGGAGCTGACGTATCCATTCAAGTACTGGTGCGTAAAGAAGTAAGGTGCTCAGCCACTGTTTTTTTAATAATTATTCAGCACTAGTTATAAAGCACTGAAAGCCTTTGCATAAAGTGAATCTGCAGTTGGCAAGAGCCCACTCCAATGTTTTTGTGCGACAGCCCGGCTGCTGTGCAAATTCTCGTGGAAACTCTCACACCTTCGTATCCCGATTGGATTCGCCACACACACATTGTTTCTGGTTCAGGATTTCTGTTACATGAAAGACGAGAGACGGAAAAGTTCTGTTGTTTTTTTCTTTTGTTTTTTTTTTTCTTTTATCAATGAATTGGCTGCATCACTCTGCTCTCCTCCCCACTGATAGCTGGTGTGTGGGGAGCGTTCTGGCGCACTATGGCTGCCGTCGCATCATCCAGGTGGGGCTGCACACTGGTGATGGTGGTGGAGGGGAGTCCCCATTACCTGCAAAGCGCTTTGAGTGAAGTGTCCAGAAACGCGCTATATAACTGTAAGCAATTATTATTATTATCTGCCTCTTGAATCATTTATTGCTCCTGAAGCAGTTGTACCCACCCTGGCCGACCCGCCTTTCTGACTCTCTTCATCAGGCTGCCCTGGACTGTAGGGACTGCTGACTTTCACATTATTCCAGCTGTATTTTTCTTTTGAACTGTGGCACGGTATATTGCTCTTCGGAAAGGAGAAGGCCACTGTGTGTAATGGTTGCACAGCTTAAACTAAAACTGCTGGAAGAGATCTGCGGGTCAGCTAACTAGAACTACTAGAACTATAAGAGTTAGATGGGCTGAGTGGCCTCCTGTCATTCATAACTATTCTTATAGCTGCAGTGGAATTTTTAAAATGGATGCGAGTATGCACGGGGATGCATGTTCTTTAACACGTTTTACAGTTTAGGTTTTACGATTAGCTTTTTATATAAGAGAAAACTGTGTTTTGTTTTAAGGGGAGGGGTGTGTGAAATTATTTTTGTTAAACCAGTGAAAGAGAGAGAGAAAGTGAAGGAGGAACAAAGAAATGTGCTTTTATCAAAGCTATTGAGGGCGTTACTGCCATTCCAGGCTTCAAAGGTTTCTTCTGTGAATGATCTGGGACGGGGAAGACTTTAAAGACATGCCACTTTGCACAGTTGAACAAATATGGTACAGTACTTGGCACATGCAGTGCATTGTATTTAATGGGGTAATGGGACTTGAAAAAATTAGTCTGTCAGAAATTAGAGCAAAGTTCCTCGTCTGGAACAGCATACTAAGCCATGCGGTCAAGAAGGACACCACAGCCGCCTCCAGGAAACTGCTGTGTAAGAGCCTCAAACCACCTTGCTGTTAGCAGCCAAATAGCTGAATAGTATTCTCTCATTTGTAGTCATTCTTATGTTAATATGAGACAGATGGTATGCTCATAATTAACCAAAGAGTATCAGTTAAGAGTATTATGTCTTTAATTGTACAGATCTGTATTAGATTGTAAAATTTGAACTTTACAAAAAGTAAAATTCAAGAACTAAATATTTTCAGGGTTTTAAACAGTTTATTTTGCGTTTTAACCATTCTCATTTGTAGATGTGGTATTTAGGGGTATCCGTTTCTTTACTGTGCATTTCAATTCTGATATGCCCCAAGGAATGTCAAATCCATTTCAAATGAGTTGGACCTGAAGGTACAAACCCATATAGGGAAAATATGTGAGTAAATGGTAATGTAATTGGTAAACATTAACAATTAATTCAAGACAACCAAGCTTCACTGAAGTCTTACTGTACAAGGCTTGTTATAGTGTTTAACCAGTAATTGAACACACTTGCAAACAACACAGTAATTATCAGACTAAAACAGAAAAAGCCCTTCTAGAAATTCTGTTCACCCAGTTTAGTTCAGTAATTCTTTGTGAGGTAAGAAAAATACACACTTGAGCATTCAGTGTTTTATCATTATAATAATAAAATCATGATTTTCTTTTTACTTTTCCTTTAAAGTACATTGAAACATACTTTTAAAGGCGTTATTTAAATATGTTTCACAACCATTCCTGAGATTTGCAGTATAAAATCTTCTTTTAACAACTTCTGTCTTGTCATTGGACAAAAACATTCATAGACCATACTGAATAATATTAAAATCTGTATACTGGAATGTAGTTTGTTTTATGAATTAGGGAGGGGTAATTATTCAAGCCACTGAATAACGTGTACTTATAGTAATTAATTCCCATTTTGTTTCAAAAGAGCTAGGACTACAATTGCTGAACCTCGGCCCACAGAATTTTTGTGCAATGAACAACATAGGAACTGCAGTACTGAAAACATTCACCAATAACAATACCCCCTGCATGACCTTATGTAGGATCTATTTGTAAAAAGCTGACTGTCTCTTTGGGAACTGGGTTGAACCATCCTGTGCTTTAGTATTCTATACATATTACTGTATATCTGGTTGATTATTTCAATGCATTAAAGAATTCCATTCAGTGTGTTGTTTTTTGTGTCTTTTATAAAAGCATTTTAAGTTACGATGCCCGGTTGTCAATAAAGGAGTGCCCCTGATGCAGTGCTAATGGCATAACACCCAGCACAAAAGGTAGCCCACACAAACACCTGGAACTGCTTGTTTAGCCTGTTTCGCATTGCGCAGAATTTGATGCGGAGTCTTAGCCACATACAATATTTATTCTCTTGACGTGGAAATGCTCAAGTTAAAATTCAGGGAAATTATCGGTTTATATTGTGGTCATGGGAACACCAGACTATTTTATGTTTGATTATTTTGATATAATCAAACATTATAAAATAGTTAGAATTGTTGTAAATTATGAAAAAGGAAAAAAACAGCACATAACAAATCAAATGTTTAATTTCATGCAGCAGAAACTTGCCTGGGAGTAACTGAGACTTACACTGTAGATCTCAGATCAGGTTCCTTTATACGTTGTGGAATCTGCAAAAACTGGTGGCATTGGGAGATGTCCCTGAAACATTGCCTAACAGGTTCCATATGGAATTAATAAAGACACAGCCTTAAAAATGTAAAAGTGAACCAAACTGTGACAGGGTTTCTCCAAAACAGAACATTTTTAGTGTTAGTGTACAGTAAAATTTAATTAACCTACATTAATAAATTCATTAATAAATCAGTATATCACAAGGATAGCTGATCTACCAGACACACTTCATTCACACAACTTACAGTAATGGCCAAACAGGTGGATTAAGTGAGATATGTAGAGTAGTCATCAAACTTCAGTATTAATTGAAGCTCATCTTCTATAGTATAAAGTGCTCCACCAAAACTGTGAATTCTTCTGGAAACCTGAAGACTATTTTTAAGGGATGAGGTCCTCAGCCTAGATAGGAAGAGATTCCTGGTAAGTGTCTAGAAGCTTGTAAAATGTATTCCCCTGATTTATTGCACAGTATGTATGGAAAAGAAAAAAAACCTTGCCCTTCAACTCACTTACCCGTTCATAGTCATCCACATATTTGTATTTCTTCAGTCGGTAGAAAGTCTTTTTCTTCATAAAGGTCAAGACAATGCAATCACACAACACAGTTGCCTTAAAAAGACATGGTAGAAATATATGAGATCATTGTTTGGTTCTAATGAATACAATTGACTGCAAACAGGACAGACCTAGAACTAATCCAATAAAGAAATATCATCTAAAAATGCCATTTATAGACTTGAGTGTTTTAATAATAATATTAGAATATCACACAGCACATTAAACTAAACTAAATTATTCAGTGATTGTACTTACAACTCCTAAAAGGGCCAGGCCAGAGCCGATGTTAATCATTGTTGGGATAATGTTGAATCTGCCAGCCTACAACAGTAGTGAAAAAAAAATACAGGACAAACATTTACTCTGAGATGATGCAGGTGTGATTGTTGATTTTAACCGGCGTTATACACAGTATACCAAGTCTTGAGTTTACTTTATGGCTATTTTGTGTTTGTTCCTCCCTTTCAACTTGACGCCAATTTTAAGACTCACCTTTCCAAAAACCATGACATCAAAACGAATACCATAAGCTTTTATCAGTGTTCTTGACTCTTCTTCTCCAGGACCTTTATAATATTTTGCAAATCTGTAAAAGAAAAGTTGTTTTTATTATTAGTAGCATTTTTCTACTAAGCACTGTAAATTAGAGAGGGGCTACCAAGATGTCCATCAAGAACAAATGGTCAAATGTTTCGAGCAGTATTCCGAGCTTTGCTTTTTAAATGATAAAAAGCTAAGCAATCTTAAATGAGCAGTATACGTTGCCTTATACAACCTGGTGAACGTACCTGAAATTGTATCCAGGTGCCACATTGTTCTCAGGGTCTTTGTTGTCCAGTCTGCGAAAGCTGTATATGGGCACACACTTGTTCTGCGACTGGTCCAGATCACAGTCCCAGTTAATCTGGATACCCATCACTCCACCCTGTCCGGACATTTTACGCACAAGCCATTACCTCCTGTGTTGTGCCAACGTCCCCCACCAGAAACTACTTCTGGCTAGAGACAGGACTTCTTTTACCACAAACACCATTAGCATCATGGTGAAAATGTCACGACTGAGAACTAGCCCTCAGAAGCAACCTGAACACCACCAAAGGCGCATTGAAATGACTAAATTATTCATAACAGATCCAGAATATGAAAAAATATGCACATGCAACACCAGCTATAGAAACAAACATGAAACCTCAGTAACACTATTATTTTTAAAACTATAAAACCTTTTCACAGTAGATATGCACCTTTTTTATGAAGCATTTTGCTGTATTTGCTTTTAAAGTCAAAGTAAAACTGAATATAACTATTGTATTTCAATGAAGACCCTTGTTCTTTGATTGGAAAGAAAGACATTAGATTTCCTAATTGTTGTTTAAATAATGCCTTTCACTGGAAAGAAAATGACACACTATTGCTGTTAGCTCTGTTCTGCACATAACTTCATTAAAGCTTAATCCAATGTGATAAATCGGCGACAGTGTCTTCCAACGAAACGTGTCACTAATGAGTTTCAGTTATGATGAAATCAATTTGTTCCACGCGTTAATGGTCTCATAATTGAATCTCTTTCCCAGGCAGGAAGTCCTTAGGTCCTGTCAGCACAGTCGGAATGCCACTTCCTCTTCGGAAGACTCAACAGAGCCCAGACTGACCTCCACTGCCGTTTTCTGGAAGTCTTCTTGAGCTTCACGAACAATGTCGCCCAGTCTGAAGATGGGACAGTTGGGATCAGTGACCCGATTAAATATGCACTGTTTTAGATAGGATGTCTTCACTTGTGGCAGGATGTTTCTTCTATAGAACAGAAGAAAAAATTATGTCATTTCCATGCTTTAAAATATTATATATTTTATAGGCAATGGCTAGTCATTGATACAAGTAGCTTCCTTTAAAAAAAAACACTTCAGCTTGTTTCATTTCCAGGCTATGAATATGCAGGAGCAATTGGACACACTAACCAGCAACTTAATTTAAGTTAATAATTACACAAAGCAAAAAAAAATGATTTTTTTCCTTTTAAAAAATAGGAGAGGTACATTATAAGGTCATTAGCTCTTATTTTGGAAGAGGATTTGTGTAATTTTTTTGTCTAAATTAAACTACATTTTACATAAGATGCCACAAAGTATTGCACAACCAGAGCTGGAAATGGGTCATTTTAGGCTGTTGACTATAACTAGTCAGGGTTTAACATGGATATTTCCCAGTATTCATTTTATAAAATACACAATCACTTACTTGTTGAAGTTAAATTTGGGGAATCTGATGCTGTTCTTTATTAGCACAGTAAAGTTCTCAGCATCTTTCAGAAGTGCTGGCCTATGTAAATAAAAAACGTAGGGTTGCATAAATCGCTGTGCAGCATATCACCCCTGTTACAAATATGAAAAGCTTGCAGAAATGTGGCTTGATGTTAATATAGCTCCCTCCTGTGGTAAACACAAGTCAACAAAATTTAAAGCTCTTCTCCCTTTTGAGAATGTGCACCTTGATGTGGCCATGCAAGTCCTATCATATTAAGATTCTCCCCTACACAACAGTTATACTTTCAATCCTGCGTTCTAACAAATTTATAGTACATAAACCTAACCAATCATTTTGAGACTTTATCTTAGCATAACAGAACAAACATTTTAAGAGTTTGCATGTCCTAGAGACAAAACACACACAAACACGTTTCAGTCTGTGTGGACTAAGCCACCAAAGAGGAAGGGATTTGGGAATGTGAGACTATAATATCTGAAGTATGCAAGATTATAAAGCACGCTAACCCAGGACACCCGCATTCAGGGGAAAGAGCTGAGGTCACAAGTGCATTCTATCGTGCATTTGTGTCACCCGCAACCCACTGAAAGAGGTATAGCATTTATACCTGTTATATGTGATACATTTTTATCAATATGTATATATGTGTATAACGCTTACCAAAACATCCAAGGCTATATCTATGGACCCCTAGCCACAGTATCCTTCATTTTGTGCAATGAAAAATATAGAAACTACAGTACAGAAAGGATTCTCTAGAATACAGTACACGCTTCATGACCTAAAGAAAAGCTCACACTGCACTAAGATACAAATTACTATCTCTGTCTACACCTTTAGTAAATACAATGGTCTCGAATGGAGCCAGGAAAATGAGAAAACAAAGAAATGACTTTTATGATAAGACGTTCTCTTTACTTGCATTTTCTCTTCTGCAAATACAGTCAAAAACTCCAGCACTGTACTAAAACACATCTGGTAACCAGGTGGCAGGTGTCATGGGTTCTATAAACTGTTCAGATAGAAGCTCTGTTTTTTTTACCTTACTCACCGAGGTAAATTCAAGTCATTTTCAAGCGGACACCAAGCTCGTACTTCACATGTTCGGACATCCCCCGAAAAATTCACACATTTCCCTGTCTGGACACCTGTTCATGGATGTAATCATGGTTTAGTAACATTTAATGTCGAACAACTGCTTCAATGGTTTGTGCAGGGACGTATTTAAAACGGGACTCTGCCAAGACCCTGGGCTACAGATGTCCCCGTTTCAGACTCTTACCATTGCTGTGCACATCAGTGAATCCCGCAGTGCAGTTGCTGTCTGAGGTGCAGATAGTGGAATTATCTAGAACCTAAACACAAAGACATCATACAATTAACTAATGGCTAGTTCCCATTACACACCTGTCCAAAACACACAATAAGGCTATGACTCCCACCCTTTTATGAGGTACTTAACAGATAAAGTGTACCTGAATGCCTCTACCAAGCTTTACGGAAACGTTTTCATATGTGTCAAATTTATGACAATGAAAGGCCTTAGTACCAAATGGAATAAACTCTGAAGTTTGGACCACTTATTTCTAGGCACACAAGTGCAGGCTCAGAGGTATGTGATGTAGTAACTTACTGTTTTTATTAAAACAATGTTTAGTTTGCACCTCTCAAATGAATACATTTGGTGGATTACAGCCTTGGACTTCTGGACATCTGTCTATTTCCTAACCTCTTCTTTCACATCAGAATCAGAGGGGAGCTGGAGCCTATCCTGGCAAGCAACGGGCACAAGGCAGGGACCATCAAGGATGGTACAGCTGCCCATT